AAAGAAAAACAAACCTGTATATCCTGGCTCCTCCTTTATCTCTTCAGAGTGGTTCCTCAGACAGTCTGAGAGGCTGTCTCCTGGACTATAGTTTTCAGCAAGGTCCCTAAGTAAAACTTAACTTGCAACTTTTAGTTGTTTATTTTCCTTCTGTCAACATACTCATTAAAGGCCCTGCCCTTTCTTCTGCTGAAAGCTTTACTGTTTCCCAGGGGAATTCACCTTTTGGCTTTCCCTCTCCCCTTCCTGCCTGCAAAGTAGTCTGGTCATGACATCCATGTACAAAGGAAAGCCTTCTGAGGAGAGCCTCTCTTCCAGAAAAAGGAAGCAAATGTGTTTTTTTTTTTCTGCTGAAAACCTCTGCCAGCACCCTGCATGTTCAGGGTCAAGTTCACCCCTCCTGCTCAGAATCCAAGACTCTTCTTTACACTCCAGCCATGATGGACTGCTTCTCATGCCCATAGGCTCCCTCCTTGCAAGGGCACCCTGCAGCTCTTCAGCCTGGTCTGCCCCGTCTCTGGCTCCTCCATGGCCCTGCTCAGGAGTCTCTGCCACTGGAAGCTTCCCAGACCTCCTGAAACTTAGCATGAAACAGCCAACCGCCATAGCTAAGTGTCCAGACTCCTGGTGTTGTCAAACCCAAGTCCACGTGCCCAAGGCACAGGAAGGCCAGATGAATGGAAGTATCAGAGTTTAGAGCAAAGAAAGGTTTATTGAATGGCCAAGCAAGAACAGGCAGCTCAGGCTCAAAAGACCCGAACTCCCCAATGGCTTTCAGGGGAGCATTTTGTTTTTACAGGGGAGCATTTTTAAAGGCGACATTTGAGGATGCAGGCTCCAGGATTCCTGATTTTCTTTTCTTTGGTTGGTTGAGAAGTAACAGTGTGGTGTTTCAGGAATCTTAACCATCCACCCTCTGGTTCCGAACAGCCTGGGGGTCTAGTGCTTGTGCTCGGCCTGTGGTCACCAGCCTCCATCTGACTTTGGGGGTCTTAGTTGCTACAGAACAACTCAAAGATAGGCATCAGATGTTTATTCCTTGAGGAGGAAGTAGGACTCTGTTTTATCCCTGAACTATTACTACTTTTCTTTCTTAACTTTTCTTATTTTCTTGTTATTTTTGTTTAACTGTTGTTCCTTTGTTTTGATATTCTTCCCATCCCTAGTTATTAATAGTAACTGCTCGAGTCTGCTCTTTGTAACTCGGGAAAGACCTAGGAGACCAAGTGAGAAATGAGGGGGTGAGGCACGGAAAGGCTTTTGTTCTGGGAGACCTCACAGGATTCTCAGTTGCCCTGCCTCTGCGCTCACCAGTCATGCGCCTTCAACAAGCTGCCTGGCCTCTTTAAACCTCGCATAAACACTGTACCACCCTCGGAGCCTTGCTGGAGGATGAGAGGTGAAGTTCTTAGCACAGTGCCTGGTTAGTAGTGAGCACTCAGCAAGAGTCAACCGTGTACACCTAGAAAGCTGGCTTTTGGTCTCTCCCTGCTACTGACGTGCTGAATGGACTCAGGCAAGTTGGTCTCAGCTTTGGTTTCTTCATCCTATAAACTGAAACATCTTAACCCCACGGGCCAGTTAGGGAACAGTTGACTGAAACCATCCACCTTGCCCAGACACAATGATAATTTTGCTCATGTGTTGTCTCACAACAGGAGGTCCCATCAGTAAGGACCCTGAGTCAGACCAAATATGGGCCAAACACAACCGCTAAATTAACCCCATTACCACAATACAACTGGAGCCATGTGGCAGAGCAGTTCTCCTGGGTTCCCTATTGCTCTCCATCCTGGGGCCCCTTCACAATAAAGTTTTGCTATGTCAATTTGTGTGTCTTCTCGGACAACTCATTTCTGAGTGTTAGACAGGAGCCCACTTTCAGGCCCTGGGAAGGGGCCCCCCTACCTGTAAAGGCCCTTGGATGGGCTTGCTTGGGAGCGGAGGGTAAAATGTGCAACTGAGTGCCTCTGAGCATTTTTCTGAGAAACTGCAGCCCACTGAAGAAGCTCAAGACTGAATGAGCACTGAGGTCTCCCCGTTTCTCTCCCACAGGGGCCAACCTTTGCACCACCAGCCCCTGGCGGGAACGGGGCCTCTCCGGCAACTGAAACACCGAGGCTGACTGGTATTGAAACAGGAGGGAAGGAGTCAGTGCACAACCTTTAAAAGCATGGCAAAGCCCTTGAGGATACAACATAGACTGATTAGAACTGTTAGGTCCAATTTGGCAGAAGATTTGACTTCCAGTGGATCTCACTGTACACTCACATTAGCATGCGCTGAATGACGTACCCACAGGCGCCATGACAGTTCCAAGGTTAACCATAAAGGGTCAAAAGGTGGATGGTGGGCCAATTCCTGGAAAGCTCCCCTTTCCCAAAATAGTTGGAATAATCCTCCCATTCATTAGCCTATGAAATTACCCATCCCATAAAAACTAACCACCCAGTGTTTCAGGTCCTTCACCTTCTGAGATGGCCCATGCTCTGTGTGTGGAGTGTGTTTCTCCCGGGGCCACTCTCACCTTTTGCGATGGACCGCATTCTATCTGTAGAATATGTATCTCTCTAAATAAGTCCACTTCTTACCTATCCCTGAATTCTTTCTGCAAAGAGACCTAAAGAACCTGAGCTTCATTAAGTCCTGAGACCAGGCATGTGACCTCAATTAAAAGACAGTGGGTTCAAGTCCCAACCTGGGTTTTGGCTGAGTATGAGCCCTAATCTAAGTTGTGTGGTTTCAGCGGGAGCTAGCATAGGCTTCTGTTCCCATGGCCTCTCCCCAGTGACCTTGCTTTCAACTCTAATGCTCTGGGTATCAGGAACATGTTGGCCTGTGAATGCTGGGAATGAACTGCTGGACCTTTTCTCGTTCCTCATGTTATTCTTAGTCGCTCAGTTGTGTCTGATTCTTTGTTACCCCATGGTTTATAGCCTGCCTGGCACTCTGTCCAAGTGATTTTTCATTTCTTCCTCCTCAGGGGTCAGTCAGTTCCTCTGGATCAGTCTTAGGAACCGAGGATGCCCCGAGCATGCTGGCTGTGCCCCATTTGTGCTGCCCTTGGAGAGAAACTCAGCCAAAGGTGCCAGATCCCAGGGCTGGACCTTGCTCGGGCGGGATCTCTGAGGCGTCCTGTTCCACGAGCTGGCCCTCAGGTCACCTGAGTCAGAAACATAGTTACATCCTGGCTCTCCAAGTCCCCTCCTTGGTGCCCTCAGCCCAGCACTTCCTGCTGTCCCACCCATCCTTCCAGTGTGAGACGCCTCCTCCGTGACACCTTCTTCTCCTCCAGTGCTGTCTGTTCCCCTCTGGGTGCCTGGCACTGGGCTTGGCACAGAACAAGCACACAGAGACTGTTCAGTAAGCAAATGAATTGACTCAGGTGGCAATAAAGAAACTGGAGCTCATCTGTCTCTCAGATGCCCATTTTTAATTCAAAACTCACAGGAGACTGATACATGCTGCTGCTGCTGCTGCTGCTGCTAAGTCGCTTCAGTCGTGTCTGAGTTTTTGCGACCCCATACACGGCAGCCCACCAGGCTCCCCTGTTCCAGGGATTCTCCAGGCAAGAACACTGGAGTGGGTTGCCATTTCCTTCTCCAATGCAGGAAAGTGAAAAGTGAAAGTGAAGTCTCTCAGTCGTGCCCAACTCATAGCAACCTCATGGACTGCAACCCACCAGGCTCCTCTGTCCATGGGATTTTCCATGCAAGAACTCTGGAGTGGGTTGCCGTTGCCTTCTCCAATATAGGAAAGTGAAAAGTGAAAGTGAAGTTGCTCAGCCGTGCCTGACTCATAGCGACCCCATAGACTGCAGCCCACCAGGCTCCTCCATCCAATGGATTTTCCAGGTGAGAACACTGGAATGGGTTGCCATTGCCTTCTCTGAGACTGATACCTAGAATTGATTATATTAATTTCTAACAGGGATATGTATGTCTCCATCAACAGGAACCCTCTTATTAGCCAGATTCCAAGTCCATGTTTCAGAATAAGGGTGGGACACTTTCTGACCCTCAAGCTACATTTTTAAATCCAGAGACTCTGCCTTTACCCCGGCCAAGATAGGGTCACATTGGTAGCAGAAACGACTTTGGGGTTGGGACACCATGGACCGTGTTTGAGTCCCACCTCTGAGCCTGACTTTGCTGTACCATCCTGGGGGCCACAATTTCCTCATCTGTTTAATGGGTATATCCATCCATGCCTGCCTGGGTGTTGTAAAACTGGAATATATGCCAAGAAACAGCTGGTTCACTCAGGCTTTGGGACTGAAATACAATCCCTACTTGAAGGAACCTGGGCTGTTTGGTTGGGCAGGTGGTCTTGGGGTGAGGGTGGAAGTGGTTCAGAGGAGAGGGGATGGAAGGGGTTGAGGAGGGACTCCTCAAGCTGTTCTTCCTATAGCTCAGAGCCTCCTGGGGGTGGTTTCCTTGTGGCAGGGTGACAAATACCCTGCCTCATGTATATCTCATGTGATCCATCAGTGGGCCCCACTAGGATTACTGAGCTGGGGAAAACACTGAGGCTATATCCAAACCTAGCAACATGTGCCTTAGGTACCATAGGGGCAGGAAGTGGCATATATATTATATATGTGCCATCCAGAAGGGCTAAACTTCTCAGCTTGGTGTTCAAGCCCAAAACTTATTTTTTCTCCAAGGAGTGACAAGGTCAATATCTATAAGCCTGTCTTGGAGCAAAGGAGCAGATTTCCTCTGTGTGTCGCCAGAGGCAGGCCTCAAATCATAGAAGCAGATTTCCCTCATCTTTGTTAGGAGTTGGCTAACATGGTAATGAGCCCCCCATCCCTGGAAGAATTCAAGCAGAGGTTGAAAAACTTGAAAGCAGGAGAGGCAATTCCTATTCAGAGACAATGGTGTATAGATTCCTCTATGTAATCTCAAAGACTCCTTTCTGCTCTTGGATTCATAACACATGTGAAGGGTTATCAATATCATTCCAGCCTGCATCCCACTCTGGCCTGGGTGACTCAGTCAAGGGCCAGGACAGGAGTACTCATCAGACCAGTCGGAGCAATGCTGCACATGATCCCGGCAGAGGCTCCTGGGGATACAACTGCAGTATTTGAAGACAGTCGAGGGGCAGGGCCACCACCCAGGGCCGCAGGGCAGGCAGGTAGTCACTGGGAAGACAGAAGAACAACTGGAATGCCCCATGTACCAGGGCACTCCTTAGCCTTGCAACTGGCCATAGCCCCCACACCCCCACTCTGTCTGACACAGGTTGACTGTATTCCTTATTTCCTGCAGAAGAGAGGATCTAGACTCCCCAACTCAGCTCAGAGCCTCCTGGGGTGGCTTCCTTGTGGCAGGGTGACAGGTACCCTGTCTCATGTGCATCTCATGTGATCCATCAGTAGGCCCCACTAGGATTATTGAGCTGGGAAAAACACTGAGGCTGTATTCAAGCCTAGCAGTATCTGCCTTAGGTACCAAAGCAGCAGAAAGTGGCATGTATATCGTATATGTGCCATCCAGAAGAGCTAAACTTCTGTGTGACTTTACGTGTGACCTCAACAAGTCTCTCACCCTGTCTGAGCCTCAGTTTCCTCATCTGCTCAAGGTTGTTACTAAGAAAGATAGGCCAAGTGCCAGGCCCACAGTCAGTTTTCAAATATTATTGGGTGCATGTCATCTCCCATCCTCCTCTCTCACCCTAAAATTGGTCCCACCAGCCCACTTATGACTCCCTGAGGGAACCTTGCAGGCCTCCCTCCTTTACCCTGGACCCTGGGTCTCCAGCATCCCCTGCTGCACACCCAGCGTCTACCTGGTGAAACCCTGTCCATTTTTTAAGGCCTGTTTGATTACAGCCTCTTCTGAGAAATCTCCCTTGATGGTTTCTTCTCCCCTTCTCCCCAACAAAAACCTCTCCAGGACTCCTGGCACTACCTTTGGTCACTAGCATGATGTAAGTCCTGGGGATAGGACATATGTTTGACCCCTGGCTGTCTCCCAGCAGGACCTGGCACCAGGCCAGCCCCCCCAACAGTGCTCAGAACATATTTGTGGGTTGAATGCCAGGGAAGAGATTGGGAGCAAACTCTGGGGCAGTGAAAGAACTCAAATCTTAGAGTTGGGAGACCTGGGTTTATACCCAAGCTCCCTCTTTATCACTCATTTTACTAAGTCACTTCTCCCCTCCAGCCTCAGTTTACCTACATATAAATGGGGGCCAGTGATTCCTGCCCTGCTTTTCCTCACAGGATTGTTGGGTGGTGCAGAGGAGATGAGGGAAGCCCAGGTTCAAACCCCAGTTGGGCCATGTACGTACTCTTCTTGTGACTGCCCTCTGGGCTCCCTGGCTTCCTCATTTGAGACCTTGAAACTAAGTTTCCCACCACAGAAGAATAACCCTCCAGAAGGAACCACTTGTAGTGGTAATGAACACCCTGCCACTTGAGGCATTTAGGCAGAAGTGGAAAACTTCTTCCTAGAATGCAAATAGGGGACGCAGGGGGAACCTCAGAGATTCTCTGGCTAACTTCTGCCCTCTGGCTGCTGCCTGGCCAATTGACCAGCCCAGCCTGTGCCCAGACCCCCACCTGGGCTCAGTTCATCTGAGCAGTCCCCACAGTTGTTGATCCCGTCACACATTTGGTCTGAGTAGATCCAGGAAGCAGGGTCTCCACAGTGAGCCACGAGAAAGCCAGGGAGGCTCTGGGGCACAGCTCCTGCAGAGGGAGAGGTGAGGCAGGAGCAAGTCCACATTTGGCTGCCGTTCAGGTACATTCAGGCTGCAGGTGTCTCACGGCTAAATGGAGGGGGATTGTCCTGACCACCCTGGCAGCTGGTAAACCCGGGGTCACTGAGCATCCAGGAAGGGCACAAGGAGAAGTTCTCCTGGGAGGAGGTCAGTCAAGGGGAGATGAGGGTTCTTGCCCTGTTTATCCAACAGGATGCCCAGAGCTGCTTCTCCCTTCCTCACTCCTACTCAGCTCTTGCTCCTTCCCATCCACACCATGTCTTACTCTGCTCCTCCCTCCAGAAATGTCCTTCTCGACACCTGTCCAAAAACATCCCACCTGCAAGTCCAGGTTCAAGTTCCTTCACCTCCAGGAAGCTTCCTCCACTGGAACACAACAAGAATAAATGTGGGGTTTCCCTGGTGGCTAACCAGTAAAGAAATCACCTGCCAATGCAGGAGACATGGATTCAATCCCTGATCTGGGGAGATTTTACATCCCATGGAGCAACTATGCCTGTGAGCCACAACTATTGAGCCGGTGCTCTAGAGTCCGAGAGCCACAGCTACTGAGCCCATGTGCTGCAACTACTGAAGCCCCTGCACTTAGAATCCGTGCTCCACAACAAGAGAAACCACTGCAATGAAAAGTCCGAGCACTGCAACTAGAGAGTAGCTTCTGCTCTTTGCAACTAGAGGAAAGCCATACCAGCAGTGAAGACCCAACACAGCCATAAAGAAATAAAATAAATAATTTTTAAAAAGCATAAATGTGAAGTCTTGCACTTGGGTCCCGGAATTCAGGGGATGTGGGTTCACATGTTTTGTGAGAGGGAATCAGAGAACTGTTCTTGAAAGTGGGTTCTGTGTTAGACAGCAGTGTGACAGGGCTACCAAAAATTAACGCTAACTCAGGCCGCATCACTAGAGATATAACCCAGACTTAGGAGGGGAAAAGTCTTTGTTCCCTGGACTGGCCAGAGTCAGCCGGAAGTGTCACGGATGCCTCTGAAGCTAGTCCAGGGAGAGGGACATGGCAGTTGGTTTGTGTTCTGTGGATGCTGGTGGAGTGGGAAAGACCAATCACAACCGGGTGACTGGGAGTTCACAGGGTAGTTTAGGGAAGAAGAGACTCATGTGAGACAACAAAGCAATCTCCAATCCACGCAGTGCCACCATCACAGGAAACAGATTGACATGTGGTTTTTGGAGGGCAGGGGTTGATGAGAGGTTAGAGTTGGAACTAGTCAAGGGTGCTATTGGGAGGTAGCCCTAAACTCTGTACAAGGGAGACGTCCCCATGGGAAAACCAGAGTGATAGGAGCAGCTGCCTCAAGTTGTAGTGAGCTTCTATCCTGGGAGTGTGCAAGCAGAGGATGGATGGCAGAGGGGATTGGGGCATGAGATGGAAAATGGGCTAGATGAATTTAAGATCTCTTCTGGTCTTGAGGGCTCATGATGCAATGACCCTCCCCTCATAAGCTACCCCACCCCACCCACTGTAACTCACCAATCTCTTTTCCTCCTCTGTGGCAACTGCCACGCTCCTCTCTCTTGAGAACTGTCAGGTCTAAGGTCTGGGATTAGACCTTCTCATTCATTCCTTGGTTGATTCACCAATTTCATCATTTATTCAACACATCATTCCAGATATTTCTCTGTGCAGAGCCCTGTGCCAGGCCCTGGGCCCCAAGATCAAGCAGACTAGGTTTGCCTCCGAGGAGTTCACAGTCTGATGCGGGTGGCAAACATGCCAGATGAGATTGACAATCAAGGTGACTGGGGCTGGGACACAGGTAAGCACAGGGGCTATGAGAACCCAGTAAAGGGAACATCATCTAGTTTGGGAGTCAGAGAAGGCTTCTTAGAGGAGGTAACGCTTGAACTCTGCCATGAGGGTTGCATAAAATTTCTCCAGGCCCAGAATGGAGGCATTCCCTCTGTGGGCATATGTGTGTGCGTGTGACTGGGACAGGGTGGGAGAAGCAAAGGCATAGAAGCACGCAAAGGTGCCTGGTACATTCAGGGTGGTTGAGCTTCAGTCTGGCTGCAGGGAGAGCTGGAGTTGGGGGCAATTCCCGAGGGGCCCTGGTGTAGGTACTCACGGCACAAGGCCTCCTCCTCGTCCTCGCCGTGGGCACAGGTGCGGACACCGTCACAGACCCTGCTGGCCGGGATGCAGCTGCTCCTGTCGTTGCACAGGAAGCCTGTCCTATTCATCTGCGTCACGCAGGCCTGGGCCCCTGGGTGGGCAGGGCAAGCCCCGGAAGGGTCAAGGGTGGTATTCACAGGGGCATCACCAAGTTCTCCCCCCTGAGCCCCACCTGAGCTGGAGCGAGGGGCTGGGGCCACGGGGAGGACACTGAACTTGGCATTGAAGACGGTGTGCACGCCCCAGTTCAACCACTGTGTGACTGTGCTGGCTGTGTGACTATGGGCGGGTGACCTGACCTCTCTGCACCTCAGGTTCCTTGTCTGCAAAGTGGGGAGCATGGCACACACCCCGTGGGGCTGCTGGGGAGATTACATAAAGGCCTCTGTGTGCGTAACCCTAGAGAGAGTGCAGAGAAAATCATGGTTCCCATGTCTATTGAACAACCACCTCACGGGAAGCTCCCCGGGACAGGCCTAGGGTCAGGGACACAGTTCTCACAGCAGGGCTCCTGGTGCAGGTGAGGGTGTCAGAGGCAACATCCGGGGCCAGCTAGCAACCCTTATGCCACAGTCCTTATGTCTGGGACAGCTTGACAGGCTGCAAACACCTTCCCATTTTTATTCTGTTGTTTCCCTGAATCCTCATGCAATGTGTCATCGTTAGCCTCATTTTATAGATAAGAAAAGTAAGACTCGGTGAGGTTCAAGAGGCCTGGCCACATAGCTAATAACCAGGCTGCTGCCTCTGTCTTTCCTGAGGTCAGGCTGCCTCTGCAGTGCCCAGGAGTGGTGGGGACCATCTGGGTGCCTGTCCCTTGGAGAGTCTTCCCTCTGTCCCACTGCGTGGAGCACCCAGCCCTGGGGCTGCTCCAAAGAATTAGGGGAGAAAAAGAAACTGACAGAGAAGCTGGGAGGTCCAACTTTGCAGGCTGTGCACGCACACACACATGTGTGCAGGTTGGAGGTGGGGGCGAGTTTATGTGGGTTGCATCTCATCTCCTGGAATAGCCTCAGCTGGTGTGAGGGGGCTGGCTCTCAGAGACACATTGTAACACACACCCAACTGCTCACAGACATACACGCTTGGACATACTTGAGCAAACACAGACATGCACACACAAGGGCAAACACACACACAGATATGTTCCTGCACATACAAGCATGTGCACACACACAGATGCTTGCACACATGTACACACAGACACACAGGTGCATGCATGGAGGCAACTCTGCATGTGTTCACATCTACCCGCAGTGTCCATGCACAGGCACGAGGGTGCCGTGGATTCTACCTCTACACTCACTATGTCCCCTTAGCACCTCCTGCTAGGCAACGGACATCTCTCAGAAAGGTAGGTCTGGTGACATTCCACCCCCAGCTTAATTCCTTCCCATGGCTCTCTAGATGGTGACCTCCTTCCCCAGTGCAGCCTTCGAGGCGCTGGGCCCTGGGCCCCTGGCCCTACCTGCTGCCCTGTCCATCGAGTCCACTGACCTTCTCCTTATATTTACTCCCACCCCAAGGGCTCCACACATGCTGTTCCCTGTGCCTAGATGCTTTTCCTGCCACCCTCTCCACCAACCAGTCCTGCTTTCCCTTCATGCTTCAGTGCCTTTAACTTGTCAAGGTGCCCATCCTGACCCCTAAACTGGCCAGAGCCTTGCTCCTGACTCTCAGAGCTCCCACTAAGCCTGCCTTAAAGTGCTTATTGGTTAACCTCCTTGTCACTCTGCAAACTGTTAGCTCCATGAGGTCACGTTTGGTGTTGGTGCTCATTGCTGAAGCCTGCCTTGCCTCAGGGCTGCACTGGACAGGTCCCTGTCCTTTGTGGTGGAGACAGACACACAGAAGGACAACATCACTCTGGGTGATCGGGCCTGGGGGAGAAGAAGTGTGAGAGTAATGGGAGCTGAAACAAGGCTCCTAAACAAGGCAGGCAGGGGAAGGCTTCCTGGAGGAGGTGGCATCATAGCTGGGTCCACTTCAATAGCTCAGGCTACAGATGTGCAGATGGAAGCTCAGAGATGTGCACATGTCAGGGTCAGTGTGTATCTGTACATACGCCCTAAGGAACTGTTCGAAAGTCACTTTGTGGAGAAGCCAGGCAGGATCAGTTTCTCCCATCACTCTGTGCTCCCTCTACCCTCCCAACAAGTCTGACCCACTCTCTCTTGCCCACCCTGACCTGGCGTGCGAGATGGGGGTCCAAGGATGGCGACCAGGGCGATCAGAGCTGCAAGAGTTGTCAGCAGGAGAATCAGGAAGGCTGAGAGGCAGGCCCCTCGGCGTGAGTAGCAGCAAGGGCTGCAGTCCGCTGTGTGGGGTGGGAAACCAGTGATGGAGCAGCCAGTGCTGGGGCCCAGGGATCCCCCACCCTGAACCCTACAAGTGATCCCTCTTCACTGGGGTGCTGGGGTAGGACAGGCTTCCCTGGAGGAGGGCGCTCCCAAGCCCCCTGAGATGCTCTCGGCTCTGCCGGTGGACTCACCCCAGCAAACGCCTGGCCCTGGCCTACATCCAGGTGAGTGGCAGTCGGGACGAGGGTCCCAGGTCTCTGCTCCACCCCCTAACCCTTGTGTCCTTCCATGAGTCTGTCTCCTCAGGAGATAGGGAAGGAGACATGTACACCTGCTTACTGAGTTACTGCCACAGGGCAGAAACCAAAGCAGGCCCTTCATAGCCATTATTTTCATTATTCAAGACTACCTTTATTTTACAGATGAGGAAACCGAAGCTCAGAGAAGGAAAATTCCAGGCCCCCTTGTGTGGAGCTGTTACATCAGTCCACACCTCTCTGCTGCCAAAACTGGTGCTCTTTCCACGATGTCAACTGATTGTGCATTCTGGAACCTGCCAGGATGCTGATTGGAATCCCAGCTCCACCACTTTTCAGCTGGGCCACACTGAAAAGCCACTTTATTCTCTGTGCCTGCTTTCCTCATGTGGGAAATGGGGCTCTAATGCCTACATTAGAGTTGTCGAGAGGATTAAGCTAGGTACTGGATCAGAACAGGGCTTGGTGCATAGTAAGTGCTATAAAGGTTCTAGCTACTATTTGTCTTTATTGAGCATCTGCTGTGTGCCAATCTGGAAATGACAGTGACGCCTTTAACTGACTTTGCTCCTGAATTTTTCTGGCTTGTGAAATAATGAAAGAGAATCGTATTGGGGACCTACTAAGTTCCCTGGTGGCTCAGATGGTAAAGAATCTGCCTGCAACATGGGAGACCCAGGTTCAATCCCTGGGTCAGGAAGATCCCCTGGAGAAGGAAATGGCAACCCACTCCAGTATTCCTGCCTGGAGGATCCTGACAGGCTACAGTCCTTGGGGCTGCAAAGGGTTGAACATGACTGAGCGACTAACACCCTGCTCTGTAGAGGACGTAAAAGCAATCACAGCTCAGATCCTTGCCTCCAAAAGCTTGTAGTTCACTTAGAAGACAAGGTCTGGACACGTTAAAAGGAGAGCGTGAGCACTCCTCTGTCCCCCGGGGACTATTATCTGAGGGAAGGGGCAGGAGCATGTGTCTCCAGAGGTCAGCCCAGCAGCAGGCACACAATAGGTGCTTTGTGAATGTTCTGACCTAGAGATCCAGGGAAGAACCCAGTTCAGGCCAGTTCAGGTCACTTCCACACGGTCCACTGACATTTTCAGAGCAGCCTGCTCTGTGCTGGCCCATCAGTCAGACCTGTACCTGTACCCCAGCAGCTCACACAGCCAGGTGACCAGTGTGGTGAAGGAGGTGTCCTGGGTGCGTAAAGGAGGATGGCATTTCCACGGGCTGGTGAGGGGAAGGTGCAAGGAGAAGGCAGGACAGGTAGAGGGTGCAGGAGGGTAGAGGTCCCGATGGCATGTGGGGGACAGCAAGTGTGGCTGAAGCCCGGGGTGGGTGTACCTGGGAAGGGAGACATAGAAGGAGATGCAGCATAAATCTGAAGCCCACATTCCCTGCAGCGTTAGTTGGTGGCTCCCTTGTAAACTCGGGTAACCAGGGAGACAGCGAGAAGGCTTGGCAAGGAGAAGTGTCCTGGTAGGTCGGCCAAGCAGCTGCTTCTCAAATATTTGCGCAGCACAGGCTGGGCAGGAGGGGTGACAGGAGCGTCTCGGGGTCCACGGCCAGGTGAAGGTTGCACTTCAAAGCCTGAAAGCCCTTAAGTGCTGATCCCCCTGGGGACAGATGGGAAAAGGAGGCCATTTTTCCACACCAGGCCCTTCATGAAGCAGGCTTGAAATAAATGAGCGCCAGCATGGAGCAAAAAGATTCTGGGGCTCTGCAAACCGAGGGACCCTAATTCAAACTTGAACCCTGCCTCACGTCCCCCATCCGTGCGGGATCCCAGTTTGGCTGGACCACCCGACCTCACGTCACCTCAGCTGCCTCGTCTGCTATTGCACCTAAGAGGAGACCCCCTTGGAGCTGACCATTGGGTGTAGAAGAGGCCCCATGGTGCTGGGCACACAATAGGCCCTTGATCCTTGATAGTTACTAGTAGTAGCTACCTCTCTGGGTCTGTCCCCTCAGTGGTCAAATGAGAGTCAAGATTGGACACATAGCAGGTGCTCAATAAAAGTGTTCTTTTCTTCTTTATTCCACAGAAGTAAATCACACTGTCCTGGTCACTTGGTGAGCCAGCAGCCGAGAGCAGGTACTCAATAAATGTGAGATCCCTCCCACCTTATCCCTCAGAGGTAAAGAGACCCACCTGGGTCACCCTTTGAGTCAGGGACTGGACTCTAGAGCTCTTTCCTCTATGGGTTTTGAGGGGCACTGTATGTCTGTGAGGTGGGCAGCACACAGTTCGTGCTCACATGTGCTTATGCATTTAGCAAATGGCCGTCAGTACGGATGGCCAGGACCCTGGGAATAGATGACATCAACAACAGGGCAGAGGTCTGAGAGACAGAGGGAGCCTTAGGGAGCTGCTTTTGTGTCTCCATAGCAACAGCCCAGCATCAAGGGAGCCCCGTGTAGGGGAGGGGCTGGCCCCAGGCCCCCCAGCCTTTACCTTCCCCTCCAGGGAGGGCTTTGCTTCCAGCAGCAGCATTGCCATTGGCATCCCCCTGCCCAAGAGAACAGAATGTGGGGTGGGCTGAGGTGAGGGGAGGTCCAGCCTCAGGGAGCTAGACTGAAAAGTTTTTCAGAAGCGTCACCAAGAGCCCTCGGGAGAAACCCTGGTCCTCCACTAGGATGCCCCACACTCCTGTCTCCTTCACGTTCCCACACCTTTGCCTGTACTATGCCCTTTGCCTGGAAAGCCTTTTCCTCTGCTGCCCATTTGGCAAACATCCACCCTTCAAACCAGCTCAGGGGGTACCCCCTTGGAGAAGCTCCCGCAGGTGACCCCCTTAATGTCGATCGTTCCATCCCCTGGCCTCCTGGCCCCTCCCAGCTCCCACCACCTGAACCATGTACCTGGTTCACCTGTTGTGTCTCCCTACAACCTGGTAGAGAGCCTCCGGGGCGGCGGAGTACCCGAGTCACCTCAGTGTCTCCCCTCTTTACTGCCCACCCTTAGCCCAGGATTTGCACACCCACCCCAGGTCAGGAGGCATCTCAGGGCAGCTCTTACCTGGGGGAAGATCTTGTTCATGTCTGTGGCTCCCAGCTCCAGTCTCCGGGCCCTAGGCAGTGCAGAAAACTCGGCAGGTTCCTGGCCTGTCACCAGGGGCAGCCAGGAGGAGGGATGACAGGAGGCCTCTCCTGGCCGCACCCTCCCTGTGGGCAGGCTCCTCCCAGGCTGCCTCCCAAGAAGAGGAAAGGGCAGGAGGGCCCTGCTCTGCCCTGGCCTCTTCCCACTCTGCAGGCTGACAGCCACGCTCCAACGCCAGAATTCTCTATGTTACAGACGAGCCTGAGGTTCAGAGAGCGAGGAAGTGCCTTGAATCACACGGTGTGGGGTTGAGAGGGAAGTTGAACCCAGGAATTTTTCAGTGTGTGATTTTTCTCCACATCAATGATGAGATGGAGGATCTCAGGTCTCCCTCAGCTGCATGAAGATCCAGGCAGAAAGACCCAGAATTAAGGTTCCAGTGGCTAAAGAGCAGGGGTCACATTTTCATTGATGTTTGGCCAATGAAATACATAATCTATGTGGAAAGAATATGTATTTTCCACTAAAATGATAGGTCACTTAACCTGAGTTTCAGCTTTCTCATCTGTCTCTCTAAACTTCTTTTCCCCTCATTCCTGAAGAAAGGTGGTGCCCCTGTAGATGGATCTCTTTGTCCTCCCCACTCAACGCCCAACACTGTACCAGACCCACTCAGTCCACTTGCTCTCATGTCTCCCTTCTTCCCCCTCCCTTTCCCTGAAAAAACAAAATTTAAAAACGTAAGAAAATACAAAAAACTTGGAAGAATAAGGTAACAAATAAACAAATAATGTAACAAACAAATGTTTGTGTGTTTGACTCTTTGCCACCACATGGACTCAAGCCCACCAGCCTCCTCTGTCCATGGAATTCTCCAGGCAAGAATACTGGAGTGGGTTGCCATGCCCTCCTCCAGAGGATCTTCCTGGCCCAGGGATCAAACCCAGGTTTCTCCCATTGCAGGCAGATTCTTGACCATCTGAGCCACCGGGGAAGCCCACCATCCAGAGATAAGAAATGTTAAAATTTAGTCATCTTTCCATCAAGTATAGCAAAACTGTCAGTCAGTCAGTTCAGTCACTCAGTCATGTCCTGCTCTTTGCAACCCCACGAACCACAGCACACCAGGCCTCCCTGTCCATCATCAACTCCCAGAGTCCACCCAAACCCATGTCCATCTAGTCGGTGATGCCATCCAACCATCTCATCCTCTGTCGTCCCCTTCTCCTCCTGTCCCCAATCCTTCCTGGCATTAGGGTCTTTTCCAGTGAGTCAGCTCTTCGCATCAGGTGGCCAAAGTACCGGAGTTTCAGCTTCAACATCAGTCCTTCCAATGAACACCCAAGACTGATCTCCTTTAGGATGGACTGATTGGATCTCCTTGCAGTCCAAGGGATTCTCAAGAGTCTTCTCCAACACCACAGGTAGTCCTCTTTTTTTACCCAGTTGTATTATTCCTTCTCTCCCTCCCCAGAGCCAACCAGTTTCCTGAACATCCTGTGTATGCTTCCAGTGGCTAGGTTTTATACACTCTCTAGAAATATACATACACATACATCTAGAATCACACTGCTGCTGCCGCTAAGTCGCTTCAGTCGTGTCCGACTCTGTGCGACCCCATAGACAGCAGCCCACCAGGCTCCGCCGTCCCTGGGATTTTCCAGGCAAGAACACTGGAGTGGGTTGGCATTGCCTTCTCCAGAATCACACTGCAGGGGCCCCCCAACTTCATCAGATATTGCCCAACCACTCTTCCAGGAGGCTGTACTGGCTTGCACCCCCATTAGCAGTGACGAGAGTTTCTGTCTCCTCAGTCTTGAAAGTGTCAGACATTCTGACATCCATCTTCCTCTGGTGGGTGTGAAATGGTGTCTCACTTTGGTTTAGTTTGCGTTTCTCTAGTAACTCCTACGGCCACCACCAATTGCTAACATTTATCGACCACTTGTTTTATCACATGCTGCACTGTATGTGTTACGTATGTTAACCCACTTAGTCCTCCCAACTACAAGTGATGGAGACTGCTACTATCTCCATTTCACAGATAAGGAAATTGAGACACAGAAACATTGTTACTTGCCCAAGGTTCACAGTTGAAAGGAGGCGTAGCTGCATTATAGACATGGGTGGCTGAAAATTTCACACAGTACCTCTACCTATCCCCTCACTTCTCAAAAGTATGGTCCTCGGACCAGCAGGACCTCATCATCTGTGAGAGATGGAATCTCATCTAGGCCCACCAAGCCAGAACCTGCATTTTAACAAGAGCTTTAGGAGGTTCAAATGCATATTCAATTTGAAAAGCCCTGCCCCAGCCCATGCTGTTATGTTGCCCTCTTAAAATGTACTGGTCATGTGGATTTCTTCCCTGGTGAAAGGCTTTTTCCTATCTGTTGTCCATCTTTCTATAGGTGGCTTATCTTTTTCTTATTGACTTATGGGTTTCTTTATGCTGAATTTGAATCCTTTGTGGCATGGATCAAACACATCTCTCCCAGTAGTAGCTTGTCACTTGCTTAGAGTGATTTCTGCTGGCTCCATCCACCTTTCTAAACCCATCTTTCTTGTCCAGAACCAGGCAATAATCTCATTCCATGAAGCCTTCTCCAACTCTCTCCCCGTCCTCAGATCTGCCTTTGCTTATACTCCTCAAGGTCTAGGGCTCTATCTGACCTCGTCTATAGCTGGCGGAGATCCTCTGCCCATAAGATCAGCAAATCTCAGCTTGTCAGAAAAACCTGGGCTTTTATTCTGATTCTGCTAAATTAATACCTACCTAATTTAAGGTGGCAAGTCACAGCCTCTCTGTTTCCTGATCTGAAGAATGGAGATAAGAGCACTTACCTCAGAATTTTGTGGTTAGAACAAAGTAAGTGCGAATATGTGAAGGTGTTCTGCACCCTGGGAGAGTACAATATTGTTTCTGAATGGCTTGGTTTGTTTATATATACAAAGAGATCTGCTTGAGGGCGGGGACTACTTTGTAGTCCAGGGTGCAGCACAGGGTTGGTCAATAGTAAGTGGGCAGCACAACTAGATTGACCCCGGCACCTGTCACATCGACTTCCAGACCTGCCTAGGGGTGAGGCTCAATCCCTGCTTCAGCATCTATCACTGTGCCTTCCATAACTCTGAGAGTCCTGGCTGGATGCCTTTCCTCACTGAGACTCTGTTTCCTCAATTCTAACATGGAGATGGTAAACCCCATCCTGCTTTCCCAGAAGGATGCTGTAAAGACACATTTAAAGGTGACAGTGAGAGTACTCTAAAGGGCTTTGCAAAAGTCACGGGGAATCAATATACAAACTTCTTCATGAAATATCTAAGTAGACACTTTTACAAGATAGCATTATAATATTTCTCAGTGCAGATGAACCAAATTTTATTTGGCACATACATACTTAAGCATTATGAAATTTTCAGATGTGAGGCTCCAATAATGACTGCATGATGGTATCTCTTAAGGTAACATTTTCAAGAGTTTTTGTTGAAAACTTTCATTTCTAATCAGTTGCTGATTTCTTTCCACCCAAGCCTTCAATTATTGCTACAATGTTGCAAAACAAGTCAAGTATACAAAACATTTGTAATAGTAAAATAAGCCCAAATCATTTAGAAGTGAACAAACAAATAAAAATATTATACTCTCAAAATAACAAAGTAAAATTACTCAACCCCCAAACCAGAGATTCAGTAACTTGGAAGAGAAAAAAAGTTAAATATTTTCACTAACTTCTAACTGAAACATAGCATATCCTTTAATTATGAACACAGTCAACGATTGATAGTACTGTGAGTAGTTCCTGTGACTTTATCACCAATAGAAATCAGACATTTACATGTTATAATTGTTGCAGAGATTTAAAAATAAAATTTGAAATTGCTTTGAAATTCCAGTAGTTTTAGAACCACCGCTAGGCCTTATTTTATGTGTTAATAAAGAAGTACATAATTGAAAATTTTTGAAAATAACTTAATTGTATGTTAATATGATTAGTTTTCTTTGCAATCCTTTATGCTTGGTTTTATGCATGTGAAAACATTATTCTGAGGAAAGTCAGTCCATAGACTTCACCAGACTATCCAAAAGGTCCATGGCATGAAAAAGGTCAAGAACACCTGCTCTAAACAGATAATTCATTAACATCACAGGAAGAGAATACTTAATAGTGAAATATGTAAAGTTGGCTTCAACAATTATACATTTCAGAGAAGGTATACAAACAACACTTCAGAATTTAATTATTGCAAAGAGTCAGAAAATCTATACTAATTGAACAATCTAGCTTCTCACAGAAGGCTGCGTTTCCCACTAACTCAGTCTTTTGTCTCTGAATATACTGTAGGGTAAGGGAGTTAGAGAAGGCGAGGTTCAGAAAAAGAAGGAGACTGGCACTTTACAGGAACAGATCACCTTTAATGAAGTGAGAAGGGGCAGCAATCAGATTAGCGAGCAGCTGCACTCACCTAAGAAAAGAGTAAGTATATATAGGCATATATGTGGAAATATACTGTCTTAAGGGGGCCTGTTCTCCAAGATTGTTCGGAGTAGTTCTCTCTTAAATGTCTGGGGTAAGGAATTCTGGAGATTGACCAGAGGCTGGACCGGCTGGGACCTGGGTGTAATCAACCTTAAAGTCCATTTTTTTTCCTTTGGGTGAGAGAGTTTTTTGTTTTGTATAGAATGGTGGGGAGGACCGGGAAGGGAGTTTTAACTCCTGGCTTTTTTTTTTAACTCCAGGCTATTTTGAGCCAGGCAACTTTCCTTCACATACCTCCACCCTTAGACTCTAGTCTAGAAGTAGAAAGAAAGATAAAAAAGGTAGCTTCTACTGATGATACTCAAATGCAAACATAACCTACTCTGCAACTGGTAATGTGGAAGCAAGGACTCAGGAACACCCTGGGTTAGTAGAAGCTGGGCTGGCAAACCTAGAATTTGAGGACAGTAATAAGTAGACCAAGCATTGTGGTTTAAAAAGTTAGCCCAATGTGAAAAAAAAAAAAAAAAAAGTTAGCCCAACGTGAAGTCTTGTAAGAAACAGGAGTCCATGGGACAGCCTTTCAGTTTGCTTGGCAATACTCAGATTGTGCCTATGACCCAATGAGTAGGCTTACCATCCAAACAATAATGTGGAGCAACAGAGAGCCTTATACTTAAGAGCTCAAAAATATTAATATATGTCAAACAAAATGAAATAGGGTTATTCGGCATTAAAAAAAAAAAAACCACACAAACAAAAATACCAACCCTGGGAAGCAAATGGAATTTCCCATTTCTCTGTGGCTGGATAAACACAACATTTAATAGATCCTGGAGGTAACTACAGAGCTAAGACATTGCTGTCCTCTCAGATGACCCTCTAGTCTATCAGGCGCACTGTTGTCAAGTGCATTGTTTTAAAGCACTGCTGCTCTCATGCTTAAAACCTGTGCTTGCCATCTTGCTCAGGACCAGGTCCAGGTTTACTGAGGTCCTTTATTTTGTGGCCTGTCTAGCTCCATCTGTTGCTATGTTTTTGCATGTGCTATCTCAGGCTGCTAAACCATTTGCAGTTCCCCACCTGTTGCCTCTAGATGTGAGCATGCTATCCTCACTGGTACACGGCTCCCTGTATTTTGTCTGGCTTTCCTTTTCCCTCTAGGTTTAAGCATGGGTATCATTGAAGCTAGGAGTCCTCCCATAGTACTTCATGCTCATCTGGTCATATCACATTAATAACAGTTTGTCTCCTTCTTTAAAATCTGAGCAACCAGAGTTGGGTACCCGGTCTTTGTTGTTGCAGTTCCATCATCCAGCATAAGGCCTGACACTCAGGCTCTCAAGTGGTTGTTGAATGGTTAAACTGTGGATCTCTAATAGGATATCTTGGCAAAATCACTGCCATGGTGTGGTGACAATGGGGACATAGCTGAGAATTTTATAGATTGTTCTAAAGGTTGGTGGGAGGGCTGACTAGCTTTATTTAAAAAGGTCTGCAAATTTCTGTATTAATGATTCCCCTCGTGTGATCCTAAGATACATAAGAGCCCACAAAAATTATAAAGGGAACTATTTTATGTATTTAAAAATATCACAGTGGAAATGGCACATTTACCTAAAATAAAGCCAGACTAATAATAAGAGATAAAGTTGTTTGCTTTTGGCTGAGTCAAAGTACCAGGTTTCAACATGCTAATAAGCAGCTCAGATTAACAGATGATACATCATAAGGATTTCTAAGATCAACAGACCAGATAATCTGGTAATTTCTGATTTACAATATACCATATTGAGAGGGTATCCATGAAGTTTTGTGAAGATTGGGAATCTTTGGCCTAGATCATTCATTAGGATTACTACCACCTTTGTAATCATCCAAATCAGCGTATCTCTTAGACCAGGGACCTGAACCAAGACCTTCTGGCAGGATTGAACCAGAGACACCAAGGATTTTGATAATTTGCATAGGAACAAAGGCAAGCTTCTCAAGATGTTATGTGGTAGGAAAGAAGGTTATACCTAAGGGAAACTAAGTAAACTTGGGTCCACTGAAAGGGCTAAACTGTTACTTTAGGAAAGGGGGCCAGTTTTGTTGCTTTTGTTGGAATTTTCAAGTCAAATATTTTAATGCTGTATACATTTGGGGGAAGGGGTGGTAATTTTTTTTTTTTTAATGTTTTTGAAAATGTCTGGTTAATCATGCTAACATAAAAAGGATGCAAATATTTGAGTGCCTACCAAATAGAGGAATGATTGGGTATTACTACATACAAGGAACTGTCTCATAAACAGGAAGGGAAAATCTCTCTAAACTCGGATCAATACTTTCAAGAGGAATGACGGTGTCTTGGGGTACTTCATTCAGGAAGCAAAGAGAAGGAAAACCAAGGGAAGGTGGAAGAATATAGGATAGTCATATAGTTGCTCTCTTGTTCAGTTTATCTTTTGTATTGTTTTGTTTTGTTTTTATAAGGGAGGACTTTCCTAATTGTAGGCTGACTCCTACAAATGTGCAGCATTTTGAACATATCCCTGTTTCCTTCACCTGGGGCACTACAATTAAACCTGTGTCTGATTAATGAACATAAGTGTGTGCCATAAGTGGTAAATAAGACAACTGGGCTTTTTTTTTTCCCTAAGGTAAATCCAGTCCATTTCTTGTGTTTTTATAATTGTATTCTCATACAAAATAAGAAAGAGACAATGACTGCTTGGCAACCACTTAGTAATTTCCTCTTTTCCCCATTTGAATGTGTTCACATACTTTCTAACGCTCTATCTACCAAATCTAGACAACCCACTATGTAGAAAACCAAGACCTATTATCTTGTGACCAAAGCCTTACTTGGTTAATTGTATTTTCTTTTGACTCAGAGAAAGCTAACGACTAGGCTGAAGGTAAGTTAGTGACTCACTCTTCAGTCAATTGGCACTACTGCAGTTGCCAGTAATGCCCACGTGAGTGAAAAAATAATGGTTTGCAAAGTCATTTAAGATTTCATGGTATGACACTGAATCACTTTAAGACTGTAGTGTATTATGTTACCTCATGTCATTCTTATTTTTGTACCTGTATTATTGATAATAATAATAATAAAGGAATGATAATAACAACCATTTTCTACAAAGTTGAATCTAAACTTAGTCCTGCATCACTAGAGTCAAAGTCTTACTGTCAAAATGAAGTTTTCTCTGAAAATATCTTTAACATACTTGACATGCTTTATAACAGAGAAAAATAGTTCTTTGGAAAGATCCATCCAACAGAAAAATCTATAGTCTGTACAAAATAACATAAAATACACTTGTGAGAAGATCATTTTTGCTTTCATTTGCTTCCTGATCATATAGCAATAAACAGACACAGAACATTTCCTGTTTATTTTCTGGGTTGGGCAGTGGCGAAAGGGAAAATCTGGAAAATCAGCTACATTATTAACTCAAATTTCAGCACATAATTATTCAAAGAAAATTTTAATGATTTCAGTTCCATACAACTGAAAATGTAGTGTATTAAAGGGTATTTTCTACTAAACTTCAAATTACAAGTTGTCGGCCATTTCTGAGCAACAGCATCATTTCCTACTGAGTATTCAGCTTATTAACTAAGGTGAGTGACATGGCAGGCGGTGGGGAAGAACAATGATCAGCTCACAGAATTTGGCTAAGAAAGGAAACAAACAAAAACAATGCAAATAATAATTAAAATAGCTACAGATATTAGTAAAATAAAAATACAATCCCAAATAGCCATCTCTTAAATTACTAGAAAAAAATTAAAGGTAAAGTTACAGCAAATACAGTCTTCACAGATTTGGGTAACTTTATTTGCATTTAATAGTGATTTTTAAGCCCTATATCCAATGAAACCATTTTAAAAAGCTCTATGAGGAATGGAAATTTAGATGTCTATTCCACTTTTCTTAAAAAAAAAAAAAAAAAAAAAAAAAGAAGCTTAAATTTCTGAATGAGCAAGATTCACTTTTGCAGGTAGAGGCCCTGCTTCTTCATGATCTTCAGCTTTAGATCTAACAACCACAAGAGAAGAAGCTGGATATCTGTTTAGCTTTTGTTCATTCATAAATTCCAAGTCACCATAGATACTCAGCTTCTGCAAAAGGAAAAAAAATATCAATCAATGAACATTAGCAATTTGGATAATTAGGAACCTCTCCAAGTAAGGTTTTAAATAGCAATTTAATATGTTAAGATTTGGGGGAAAAAAAAAAAGGAAGAAGATTATAGATATGTGATTCAATTCCCAGTGGATAGTCAAATAAAAATTTTCCATATGTCCTGACTTAAAATACTTACAAATTAACAACTGAGTATCAGGAAAAATTGCTCAGGTTTAAATGGAGTAAGTGTGGTCATACCACACCTGGTATTGATTCTGGAGCATGGATTACAGATGCTTGATGCCTTGAGTGATCAATTCCTTTGAGATCTTATCTCTCCAACCAAGTGGTCAAATGATTTGGAGTAAGTTCCTCTGCTACTAAATGTTCTAAATTAACATATATGGAAAATGGTATGTACGATTTTAAGTCTGTGAGTAGAACAAAAAATATACACGAAATAGTTTAACATTGACAGAAAGGTCTTCATAAACATATAAAAGTTCAAACTGTTACTAACATACGCAAAAAGATACTAAAATGAAAGAATGAAAGCATAAACAGCATCAGGGCAATGTCATAAAACTCACTGAAGTATAATGGAAATGTCTAATATCTTTTGAAAGTACGTCTATTTAGATACAGGTTAACCTTCTAAAGGTAGAAAAAGAAAAGTTTTTACTAAGAGGTGGGGTAGATTTTGTTGTTAATGCATGTGGCAATAAATCTCTGATTCTGTGAGCTAAAAACTGAAGCGCTGACATTATTGACAGGGCAACTAACTGTATTAAAAGATAGGGACTTCTGTGCTGGTCTAGTGGCTACGACTGCACTCCCAAAGCAAGGAGCCTAGGTTTGATCCCTGGTCAGGGAACTAGATCCTACATGCTGTAACCAACAGTTCGCAAGCCACAACTAGAAGATCCCACATGTTACAACTAAGACCCAGTGCAGCCAAATAAATAAATAAGTAAAAAACAAACATGTATTTTAAAAAAACAGAACCATATACAAGTATATTAATGTTGGAAAGATGCTTTTAGTAGGTGCTGAATAAAGAGCACCTTCGAAGTTTAAGTATCTACAGTATCAATATGTACAACAATATAGAGTGTAATGCTCAGTGAAAGAGGCCAGTCACAAGAGACCACACACATGGATTGTCTATGGCTGGTGAGGATGCTTGGAGGAAATGGGGAGTGACTACTAGTATGAGTTTCCTTTCTAGGGTGATGAAAATGTTCTAAAGGTGATTGTCATGATGGCTGCCTACTTGAACACATTTCTGATGTGGTCTACTGTCTACTGTTTCAAGGTAACAATAATCCTTCAACAAGGAAGTGGCCCAGTACTTGACACTTTTCCAGTTAAGAGAAAATTTTCAAGACAAATTCAATGGTTGATGGATTGGACATGGATCTGATATAGTGAGGCCTCCTTAAAATCCAAATTAATAATTTGGGTTTTATTTGGGTGATAATTTGCTCTGAGGAACAATAAAAGAAAAATTTTCACAATTCTACTTAACATTTAAAAGCCTTGAAAAACACTACTTAACATTTAAAAGCCTTGAAACAGTGACAGAAACTGTTTAAATGATTTCAAACATCTGTATGGAAGAAGCTATCTAAAAGAACAAAGAGAGTAAAATTTGTGCAGAGAATGGATGGGAGCATATGGATAACCTCTAACCAGTACGTTTAGTGATTTTGTGGCTACTCTGTATTCTCAAGTGAAAATGAAAGTGGTCGCTGAGTTGTGTCTGACTTTGCGACCCCATGAACTGTAGCCCACCAGACTCCTCCGTCCATGGAATTTTCCAGGCAAGAATACTGGAGTGGGTTGCCATTTCCTTCTCCAAATTATCAAACAAATACAAGGGTACAAAAAAGGTATTTTCAAATGTGTTAACTAAGAAAGTTTACTGCCCAAGTATCTTTTATGAAAAAAAATTACTTGAGGTATTTTGAAAGTAAAGAGGAATGAATCTAAGCAAGAAAGAAACATACAAGAAACAGTGGCAACTGAGATGACTTTTATGGGAAGAAAGCCAGAACAAAACAAAAAAACAAACATTCCATTAAGCAGAGAGATCTGGAAGATTCTCCTGGGAACACTTTTAAGTAATTCAGGTTTATAATTTGCTTTCATGTGACTCTAATCACCACTGTACTTGGTTCTATTTTGAATACCTACATAATCATAATATTATAAATATGGATTTTAAATTTTCAGATCAACCAATAGCAGAGTCTGAAAGCATATATACAGAAGAATGAATTTATATTATTTCTCAAGGATTTAACTAATGAAAATTGAGAGTTAAAAGTATAGGAAGAAAGTGAAAAGCAGTAGTAAGGAGTCAATAGAAATTTATAAAGCATTCACTAAAAGTATGCAAAATAATAATACACATTACAAAAACTAGGAAGTGAAGAGATTTAAGTGAGAGACAGTGTAAGGGAACTAAACTCCTCATCTATAGTAGAAGGACATCAGATAAAAAGCAAAAAATAAAAAATTTTAAAAAGGCAACTGCATGGAAAAATGTTTTAAAACTACTGACTGGTTTATCTGAGAATTGAGGAAGAGGAAATCAATTTTATTAGTCGCTCACTGTTAGTTGACTACTCAGTCGTGTCTGACTTTTTGTGACCCCCCTGGACTGTAGCCTGCGAGGCTCCTCTGTCCACGGAATTTTCCAGGTAAGAATACTCAAGTGGGTAGCCATTCCCTTCTCCAGGGGATCTTCCTGATCCAGGAATGAAACCCAGGTCTCTGGCATTGCAGGAGGATTCTTTACCGTCTGAGCCACCAGGGAAGCCCCTTATGTCACATGTATTACTTCTAAAACTTAAATTTAAATACTAAATATGTATTTGGGTTTTAGGCCTGGCTTTTCACTAGCCAGTTAGGCAATCTTAGGCAAGTTATTATACATAAATCTTTTCCTAGACTCAATTTTTTTTCTTTCTTTCTTAAATTATGAAAGGAAGATAATACATTTATAGAAGACTTGGAAAATACAAAGTTATGTATAGTTCCACTATATATTACAATTATTTTTTAAGTAGATAGGTTAAGATTTTTATCTGGAGTTTCAATATCAAATTCTCAAAAATTAATAGAACAAGTAGAAAAGTAGAAGGATATAGTAGACCTGAAAAGCAACTATGAGCCAACTCATCATAATTAAGGTTTATAACAGTTTTCACACAGTAGAACACAAATTCCATTCAAGTTCTCATAGATATAAACCAGGAGACCCTGGAACATACGCAGAGGCATAAAACAAAGGGCAAAAATTTCATGGTCTAAAGGTATTGAAATCTTATAGTCTGTTCTCTTATCACAGTGGAATTATGGTAGAAATCAGTATCAAAAGATATCTGAAAATAAGTCACGTATTTTCAAGTGCAAAGTGATATTTACCAAGAGAGATCTCAGACTTAGCCATCAAAAGCCCAAGTTAAAAGACTGAAAAAACTGCAGAGAAGCAAGCATTTAAATGAGAAATAAATATCAAAATGAGAAATTAATATTAAAGATACTTTTAAAACACCATGTATTTGGAAATTAAATGTCCCTTTTAAATGATGGATGTACCTAAGAAGCCACAACAAGGAAAGTTAGAAAATATTTGTAACAGAATAAAAATGAAAATTCTGACTTTATCAGAGTTTGTTGTATGCAGCTTTAGCTGCGCAATGCAACTAGATACAAGGTGGAATCTTGAATAACGTAAGAAAACAAGTAATGGATTCTAGCATAAAATTTTGTGAAATCTGAACAAAATCTGCACTTTAGTTAATAATACTATATCACATGTTAATTTCCTATTTTGCGCTTTGTTTTGTTTTACAACACAGTATTTCTTTATATTCTCAAATTGGATTAGAAATTTCAAGCCTCAATTTTAAAAAAATCACTAAGATAATAATAAGCTTTCTAGTCTTTAAGCAATAATATTATATGCCAGAATAAATGGAACTATATCAAAGTTTTGAGTGAATATAAGTTAGAAATTTAGTATTCTATTCATACGCAGACAAGTGGAATCAAAATGTCATACATTTTTTAGCTAGGCAAAAATCCATAGGTTTTCTAAAATATATATATTATACATACTATTTTTATATGTATGTATAAAAAAACTTACTACATTTAATAAAGGCTTGAGAAAGAACAAAAATCCACAAAACTAAATTTCTTAACAGAATTTAGATTAAAAAGCTATGGCAGCTCTGGCATTTATATAGTTTTTTGATTGTCTCTCTTGAGACTTAAAGATCCAAAACAGCAAGATTCTTGGTCTTTTTTTTTAAAGACAAAGAAAATAATGTTTATTATAGTTTAAAACATGTTTCATTCTACTCAAGTCTTGAAACCTTTAACATTTAACTTTGTTCATCGTGATCTTATTTTTATTGTCTAATTTCTTGAACAGGGCATGGCACACTGGATGTTACCAGTAAGTATGTGTGATTTACTAACGTGAATATTATTTGGAGTCTTCTAAAAGTTTTAACTGACCATGTGAAATCAGATGATCATGGGTTTGGCAAATAAAAAAGGAAACAAACAGATAATAAGATAACAGAGGCAGCATTTACATGATTACTTGTTGCTTCGGTACTTTTCTGAGGCTGCCTGATCTCTAGAAAGGAATATCCAATACTGCTGAACCCTGTTTTTATAAGTCAGGTTTGACCTGCCTGACAAGGATCACTGTGAATGACAACTCTACTATCTTAAATAGGTAGTTCAACAAGAGAAAGGTATTATTATTTCATGATGTTTCCCCAAAAAATGACATCTTAAATGTGAAAGAACAGGGGGGAAAAGTGGAGAAATAAGGATCAAAATCTTATAAGTTACTCAAAATGATACTGCATTAAGATCAACCAATGCCCACTCTTTCTGGCACTATTATTAAATAATGTATGATGACTATTTACTATGCAAAAGAGGCTAAAGATAAGTTATTTCAGAATTTTCCTAAATAAGAAGAGCAAAGCTGTTCATAAGTTTCCAAGACTACATTTCTGGCCTTTATTACAGACATTTTAAGCTTTATTTGTAGTGACTGAAAAGGAAGCTTTTAATATTTCATGTTTGAGTTCAAGATACCAGGTCTATGCTGAAGACAGACATATTCTCTCAGCAGGTTTCTGATTTCTTATAAACACACAGGATTATATATGCAAACTATATTGACAAAATATAAATAGTATTGTTCACTGCTTATACAGGTTAAAATGCACTCTCATGTTACTATGGAGAGGGGTCAGAAGTAATTTATGTTCCAAAAATAAAATCAATGAAAAGGTTTTATGAAAGTAAATTTTAAAGTAAGTGACTTAAGTTCTCAGCTATTTTTACAGTAAATTAAGGAGAAAATATCAGAAAAGGAATATCTACACTGCACTATTTTAAAAACATTAATATGTATTGATATAGTTCAGTAAAAAGAAATCCACTAAAATGGCAATACAAAATAGTTCTGGATGAGTGATTTTTTTTCTGCTTTTTCCCCCCTGCTTCTTTATATATAACTTTATAAATTCTATGTCAAATATATAGAATTTTTATAATTAAAAATAGAGTTGAAAAAACATTACTTACTTAGCTAGTGTGGTTTCAAATACAAAGTAAAGCCTAAAAGCAGTGAATACAAACAACTGTCTTTGATACATTTTTCTTGAAAATGTATCTTAGTATATATTCTTTGAGGGTGTCACCATATTCTTGATTGTTAAGGACAAGAAGAAGAGTTCTAGAGAGGGGCAAAGTGACACCCATATGCAGATATCAGGAGGGAATGTAATAACTGCTAATATGACTCCACATGTGGTTCTAATGCTTTAGGCTTCATGATCCAGGGGTGTGGGGGGCATATGTGGAAACAGTGAGATGCTCTACAAATAACCTGGAAATAAGGGGAGAGAACTTCTCACAGAATTAAAACTATACAATCAAGACAAAATTTATCACAGCAGAAACAACATCTAAAAGAAGAAAGCTCAAAAGTCATCTGAAAAGGAGGGATGGATTCCCAGGTCTGTAAGATGTCATCAAACACCAATGAGAGGCATTGCTATGTCTAAACAACACCAGAAGATGTCAACTCTGTAAGTCAAGTAAGGAGATTAAGAGAGGAAGAACTATGAAATGTCCATCTAAGAACTGTTTCAGTAAGCGTTTGAGCATCCTGGCTCAAAAACATAAACCATGTGGTACTGGTGGTGTTCAAATTCCTAGTGTCAAAGAGGTTACACAGATGAGCTCCTGATATGAGTCACATTATCAATTTCCCTAGTGATGGAGGGTAAAACAAAAATTTATTACTACAGGTTTGTAGCTTTGCTGCCATGAGGATTTAGAGTCATGGGGCAGTTCAAAAGTAAGTTAACAGGCAAAGGCAATCCTATATAAGATGTCTAACTTCTGCTTTATCAAGAACAAAAAAAATGAATAAAATATCGACATCAGAACTAAACAGGAACACAAGTAGGTAATAAGCAAAGAGGATGTTCAGATGGTATCATAAACAGATGAGTTCTTTAGAAATTTACCCACTCTCTGATATTTCCACAATTCAAGGCAACCCTGTCTAACTTTATCCATTTGTTTAAAAACTGTCCACTTTTCTCTCTCTGCTAATCCATATCATTCTTCAAAGTTCAGGTCAAGACTCTCATGACCTATCCTGACAATCCAACACATACTCTCTGCTTTCCTTAACACTTCATATATTTATTATTTGTACCGCTTAAATAGTTGATCAGCTGGAGGAAAGATGGTATATAGGAAAAGACATAGGAGTTGTAGAGTCAAAAGACAGGAGCTTAATTCCAGGCTCAAAACTTTCATAGCTGTGCAACCCCAGGAAAGTTATCTAAACTTCACAAGCTTATTTACTCATCTACAAAATGAATAATAAAACCTGCTGTAGAGTTGTGCTGGACATGTAAGATTCATGAAAACTTTGTAAATTTTGAACAACTATATAAATATCAGTTATCAACATTATCCTATCCCAATTCTGTGTGCCTATATCCCATATGGTCTTAATAAAAACATGAAAAATATTATCTGAATCATTATTCATGTGTAAATCTTATAGCATATCTTTATAGTCTGTGAACATAAGAGTACTGTTCAAGCATCATGCTTGGGACATGCTAACTACTTATTATCAGATTCTATTTTAATTTCCCTCCTTCCTTCTTTTCACTCTTTTTCTACTGGATTTTGAAGGCACATAAGAACAAAAGTTTACTTCAGTTGGATGTGATGTCAATAGAATTTATTATCTTATGTTTAGTTACATAAATAATTTTTCTTCCTTTAAAGCTAAGTTGAATCATTAAATTAGAGGCTTTTTCTGAAACAAAAGTCCTTTACCTTATGATTCCTGGGCCAGTTAAATTTTAATTAACAAGAAAGTCAAGATAGTGTTCCATCTCTCTCAGAGTATAGCAAAACACATTACTCAAAATCAAACGCTTCAGCCTTGATGCTTCTAAAGCAACAATTATTCCTTAACATTTGTGGCAATGTTAAATTTAAAATTTGAAGTAGTTCCACAAGACTTCTTTCTTATATATCACGTTAGAAACATGTCAATGGGTTTTTTCCAGTCTCTAAGGCCTACGAGGGGATGCCCTGGCAGTCTAGTAGTTGGGACTCTGTGCTTCTACTGCAGGGGGCAAAAGTTTGATCCTTGGTTGGGGAAATAGGACCCCTCGAGCCATGTGGCATGGCCAAAAATAAATAAATAAATAAAAATTACAAAAAAAAAGACCTAGGGAGAAGAGAGACATTGAACTCAAGTCAGCCAGTGTACACTGGTCACTATAGTAGTTAGCACAACAGAAAATTGGGAAGTGATGCTTATGCTGCAAACCTGTAATTCTCATGTGTGCCAACCCCCATGTGTGTGATTAAAACCACCAAATTTTCTCTTATTCTATTAGCAGAAAGGTTTTGCTTTTCTAGTTAAACAAAACATTTAAAAAAGGAAATGATATGGCTCAGTCTTCAAATGGCCTAAGGGTTAGAATTAAATTTACCTCAGAGGGCACATACTGCTCCACAGCTGTAGCAACAGTTGCACAACAGATCCAGAGCAACACCATCACAGAGAGGACAAGAGTCATGGTTAAAATCCACCCAGAGTTACTGGGGAAAAAAAAAATCAACAGTTTTTAAAAAATTGCATAACATTAAAAACAGAAGGTTCTTAACAATTAAAAGCAATCAATTTTGTATACTTAGTTTAATACTACAAAATTTTATGTGTACTACCCTTAAAACTATTTAAAAAAAAATACAGAAGAAAATATTATAATAGCTATTATATTAGGGTAATATAATGTCCTTTCCTCCATTTCTCAAACTTCTATAACATGGCTATATAACTTTTATAAATTAAAAAAATCAGACACATTGGCTTTCTGCTAAATATATAAAATTAAAGCAAATTACTGTTAAGGATTTTTTAAAATTACTAAATGAGATAAAGCAAATCAAAGTGTTTTATAAACAGTATACTGCTACACAAATATATATATTTTAGCAAGGTATTATGATAACACTTGCTCTAAGAAAACCCAATACCAAAAAGAATTAAGGTACAGAATAGGTAAATTATGAAACAATAACTTGTTTTATAAAAGGACTCACAACAGGCTTCCAGAAGTTAACTTCTCTATTATATTTCAAATATTTAACTTGCCACAATTTACTTGAATTTCAATTTACAAGAGTATATCTATTATGAGGCATTCTGTATTTATCACAGCATATCTTAAAAAAAGATAGTTATATTTTTCTTATGATTAAAATATGTAGAAGGCTAGTTACAAGAATTAGTAACTGGAGTTTTTTCCATTATTGACCTATTGTTTGCCAAACTATAGATTAAGATTCAAAGAAAAAGCTATTCTTAAAACGTTAGATTTAAAAGAATAACATATAATGACAAAATGTTAAAGGGTAGTAAGGCACCAGTAAGATGCTAGGTAGTGTAGTATTAAGGATAAACTGTAGGGAATTCCTTGATGGCCTGACAGTTAGGACTCATTGCTCTTACTGCTGGGGTCTTGGATTCGATCCCTGGTCGGGGAACTAAGATCCTATAAGTCTAGTGACGTGACCACAAAGGAAAAAAGAATAAACAGTAACTTAAGATTAGGCAATGACTTAGGTTTCATAAAACTTATCAAACTGCAACAAAAATCCAAAACACTGAATGAGAGAAAAAGTCCCCATTTTGGTACAAAATCAAAAGCAGGTTTAGACGGAAAAGGAAGGGAAAATTTGAAGTTCAGTTCTTATTTTCTTACCCAGTCTTTAAAATAAAAAGTATCTGATATCTGATTAAAACCTGTCAAGAAACGATTTCTACTCTAAGAAATTACAGGAAGCATGCAGTGTGGACTACTGAAGTGTTACACTTGAGACACAGCCCACTTGTTCACCTCTCTACTCAAGTGCTTGACCTGGTATCTGACATGGGTAGATAACCATCACTAAGTGCTACTGTCCCTTTTTATGGCAAGGGGCTGCAGGTGGTTGTAGGGGGGAGGCTCATATCAGAACTCCTTGGAGGAGTAGAAGGTTGCATACTTTGATAGAACCCTCCTCACTCTAGAAGTCTTCATATTTCTTCCCAAGAGGGCACAAGGTATCCATTACCCTCACCAGTCCACTTTCCCTTGCCACCCTTAAGAATCTTTGGCATGGAGATGACACTCAGTATAAAACACAAAGCCCTCCTTAATCTATAGCCCTTACCCACCTCCCCTAGCCCCCTGTCTGGCCATGGAGATATAAAAATGAAAATCCAACCCTCAAACCATTCAAATACAGTCATCCCTTGGTACTCCCAGGGCAATGGTTCCAGGACTGCAACCCCCTCCTACACCAAAATCTGAGGGTGATCAATTCCTTTTTATAAGTGGCATAGATTTCCACATAACCTATACACATCTTCCTATACACTTTAAATAATCTCTAGATTACTTATAATACCTAATAAAATGCAAATGCTATATAAATACAGTTGATCCTTGAACAACTTAAGTTTGAACTATGTGGGAGACTTTATTTTTATTTTTAAATATTTTGTTTTTTAATTGAAAAAAATTCATGTGAATTTTTTTTTCAATAAATATACAGTTGGCCCTCCAACTAAATTAATTAAAGCTTAACTGAGATGTCTGAAGAAGTGCATATTGTAACATAAATCAAAGACCCCCAATGAGAACAAGAGTGTTTCTGTACTGCGGAAAAAAAACCCTTGGGTTTTATTAAAGTAGAGTGAGTATCACCTTTTATTTTATTTTATTTTTTTGAGTATCACCTTTTAAATAAACCAAAATATCCAAAAGTACAGTTTTTGTAGGGAAAAGATGAAAAAAAAAGGTTTTTTTTAAACTTTTGAGCAGTTAATATAACTTTAAAATAATAAAAAGGACTGCATCTCTCTGATACAAGCCAGATTTTATCTTCTGTATACATAAGTGAAGATGAATACATACAGAGACAGGCATCTTAAAAAGCCATCACTTTCTCCATCTTCAAGATAGTTCCTATGTGCTTGTGAACTTCTCATTTGCAGATCTGCTGAAATAATAAGGTACAAGTTAATGATATCCTATATTCCAAAAGGGGGTCTCAAATGACTGCTTCTATATATACACACTGTACCCAGTTATTTCTGTAAATGTAATCTGGCATATTTATAATGAATGCAAGTTCCTCTGGCACATTAAAAACCAACTGGATACTATACAACATTATGAATTTCCTAATTTATTTTCAAATTTTTATTGACATTGATGCTTTCCATGTCTGAATGTAATAATACAATGGTTTGTTTAAATCTAAAGTTAAAGATGGGGTTTTCCTGGTGGTCTAACAGTTAAGAATCCGCCTGCCAAGGCAGGGCACAAGAGTTCGACCCCTGCTTCAGGAAGATCCTATATGTGGCAACTAAGCCCATGCACCACAACTACTGAGTTAGCAGTCTAAAGCCTGGGGGGCATAAAATAAATAAATCTTTAAAAAAATAAAAAGATACAGTTAAAAGATTATTTTGCTGGGTGAATGATGACAGCACACAGCACAAGGCGTGCTGTGTGTTGTCATCATTCACCCACCAAAATAATTAGAAAGTTAATAAAATCAATATCTAAAATAAGGAATGAGTTAATACATTTAAAAAGGTAAGCATAGTTTTAGCTTGATGTTTTATATTTCTGTGAGTTTAAATCCACTTCTAGCATAGAAATAAAGAGAGAATAAAAACATATTTTCAGGGTAGTTTCACTATTTGGTTAGTTTATTGGAAGATACCAGGACATCTCCTTAGTTCATATTCAAAACATCCTTAAAGGAAAACAAAATGTTTTCAGAATAGTGATTCTCAAAGTGTGATCCCCAGACCAGCCAACAGAACCCAGCAATCTGTTAGAAATGCAAATTCTCATGTCTTATCCCAGATCGAGTAAATTGGAAACTTTGGAGGCGGGGCTCAGAAATGCTTTTAATAAGCTCTCCAGACCATAATTCACAATAAAGTTTGAGGACCACAGTTTTAAGTTATTTATTCACCTTCCAACAATCATATAACCAATGCTACCACCATCAGATCTGACTGCTAGTGTTTTTAATCCTAGGCTACTTAAAACTTACAGGACATTTTGCTTAGTGACGATTCTTTCAAATTTGTAGGCTCCTGCTCCAACTGTGGTGCATATTGGATTTCTGGTTTAGACTAAAACGATAAGAAAGCAATTAGGTCATTTGTACTTCATCTCTATAGACATTCAAATTGAGAAAAAGTAATAGAAGTATGGTATAAAAAATAAAACACAGTAACTACAATATATTTTAATTGCTTGTGCTAAGCACTAGATCCAGTGTCTTGCAAAGAAACAGATTTCCATCATCGTCAAGAATAGTCAGTTTAATTTCCTGACAACATTAAAAAAAGAAAAAAATAGATTACAACATAGTGCATTAAGTATCATACCCGATAAAAAATGAGTTCTAATTCTGGTTGATCAGGAGTAATTTGGCAGACTGCCAGAATTTCTGGTTAAACACATCTCTATTTTTTCTCATCTGAAACATTCTATTATTTTCTACGTGTGAGTAACTCATAAATTTTAGCTCAATACTCCGTACTTTAGGGCTTCCCTGGTGGCTCAGCAGTAAAGAATCCGTCTATCAATGCAGGAGATGTGGGTTCGATCCCTGAGTTGGTTGGGAAGATCCTCTGGAGAAGGAAATGGCAACCCACTCCAGTATTCTTGCCTGGGAAATCCCATGGGCAGAAGAACATGGCCGGCTACGGTCCATGGTGTCGCAGAGCCGGAAACAACTAAGCGATTAAAAACATGGCAAACAACTCCATACTTTACATCTTCACGTAGCTCTGATGCTCTGGAGTAGGGGGTTTCTCCATCATAATCATTCTTAAGTTGACACAAAGAGAAAAACAGTTAACCATACATCTAATCAGGAATGAAGGACTCCACTCTTAAAAGTCAACTTAAGTAGCTTTAGGAAACAGAACTTATTCATGAACTTAAGAGAAAATTCCTTCTGTGTTTCACATATTACCAAATCACAGGGTACCCAAGACTCAGGATGATGCTAAAACTCACATACTAGGCTTACAGTAAGCCACTCACTTGGCAATGATAATTAAAAGGTTTACTTTATTTCCTGAGAAAGCATCATAACGTAATTCGTTGGCTAGTAAATTTGAGGAACTTAACCACCAAATTAAAAAGAAGACAGCATGGTAGGGTGGTATATGAGCCTTGGAGCTAAAATAACCCAGGTTTGACACCTAATTCTGTTACTTCTGGCAGTGTGACCTTATACAAGTTAACCTCGAAGTTTCCTCATCAATAAAGCAGCTGTAATGCAACTTCATGAAGTTGTTTGGAGAGCTGAGACAATATATATAAATGTCTAGTACACATGAACCTTCACCAAACAGCAGCTATAATTATCAAACCCCATGATAAACAATGAACTGGGAGAAAAGTTCTCTCTCTAGAAGGCAGCATGCTTCTTCAACAAGCTCTCTTATCAGAGTTAAGAGGAAAAGCACTATTAATAACTAAAAATTATGTCCCATTGCTTTTCTCTGATATCCATATGTGGTAAAATACACACCATTATTCATATTCAAACTACATTAATTTTTCTTATCTCTTATATCTACTGCTGCTGCTGAGTCGCTTCAGTTGTGTCCAACTCTGTGCGACCCCCATAGATGGCAGCCCACCAGGCTCCCCTGTCCCTGGGATTCTCCAGGCAAGAACACTGGAGTGGGTTGCCATTTCCTTCTCCAATGCATGAAAGTGAAAAGTGAAAGTGAAAGTGAAGTCGCTCATTCGTGTCCGACTCAGCAACCCCATGGACCGCAGCCTACCAGGCTCCTCCATCCATGGGATATTCCAGGCAAGAGTACTGGAGTGGGGTGCCATTGCCTTCTCCAATGCATGAAAGTGAAGTTGCTCAGTCGTGTCCAACTCTCAGCAACCCCACGGACTGCAGCCTACCAGGCTCCTCCATCCATGGGATTTTCCAGGCAAGAGTACTGGAGTGGGGTGCCATTGCCTTCTCCGCTCTTATATCTATAGGTTTCATTTTATCAATTAACCACTCTAAAATTTAGAAGACTCAGAGATCTTGTGAGATACAGATCAATAGGCTTTAAATAGATTTCCAATGAGCAGAGGGAGGAGTAAATCACATTGGGTCCTGATGCCCAATGTAGGTTTTATTTATTAATTTTTTTATATCCAATGTAGGTTTTAATGCAGGCTAAAAAGTAATTATTATTTGATAAAAAATATTTGTAAGGGACTAAGTATGTGATTCTATGCTAAGATAGTAATTTAAAATATATACATTACTACTGCTAGTATTTAAATGAATCTATGAAGTTATCACCTGGAATATAACTATTTTTCCATCATCAGCTTGAAGATAAAAAGTCCATGAAGAGGTTATGAAGCTCTGTGCAGAGTCCACCATATCACTCCAGAATGATCTTACCAGAGTTAGAGGGAACAGTAGATGCATTTTTGGCATCAGGGACATGAGCTTAAAAAAAAAAAAAAAAGATTAAATCAAGGTGAAATATATTATTTTTTATACACACATATACAAAAGAACAATATAATCAAATCCTTATTTGGACAGAGTATAAAACAAGTGATTCCACTATCGTCATTAGCATCAGAGTAAACTCTTCATTATCTATGCAATTAACCATGAGAAGCTTAAAGTCCTAGGATCCTTTAATGTACCACCTAATACAATATAAGCTACCTGTCACCTCTATGAAATTAACAGGCTTTTGAATTAGGTCCAAAAATGCAGAGAATCTTAATTCTTCTCTTTTGATTAAATAAGGATTAACAAGGCCTCAAGAGGTAGAAGGGGAAGGGACAAATCTTTAATATCTTCATATAAAAGGAACCATCCCGTAACACACACCAATGGAAAAAAGGAAGGTAAAAAATCAATCCAAGGAATATATGCATAAAATGTGAGATATCTGACAACAGGGCAGAGTGAGGGAAATATTTATGGGCTGACTACATACAGTAAACTACTGATGAGATTTTTACTGGTATCATCTCCCCTTCAATTCTGACTATTGACTAATTCAACAGCAGTGAGCCTCTCTAGAGAATAAGCATGAGACACCATTCACTGAACTCTAGGGATAGTTTTGGTTCTGGCTATATTTCAAAAGAAAGACAGTATGGGGTTATTAAGAGAGAAGAGCTTTTAGAATCAGAAGAGATTTGTATTCGTGATCTAATTTTTCCACTGAAAAGCTGTGAAATCATTCATTGATTAGTTCACTAAATAAGCATTCATTGAGATTACAAATTTTAAGAATCAGAAGCCATGTGTGTTTTATTTATCCACATATGTCTGTGTTTCATCTATGCAGGACAGAGGTGAAACACAGGGTGATACATGTGTATGGGGAAAAGCATCTAACCCGAATTGGGGTGAGAGGTGGTTAAGAAGGCTTCACAAAGGACATGATACTTGCCCTGAGTCAAAGGATTCACTAGGCAGATACAGAATAGAAGAAACAAGATATAAAGTCACGATGAACATATTACAAACATTAAGAACTTCTCAATTAAGAAAAAGGGAAATAAAAATGGGTCTTAAAAATTAGAAAATATGTTTAAAGTTACTTGTAAGAGAAACAGAAATTAAAACTGTAATGAAAGTAGTACACTGCTAAGGACTGGCAGGAGAAGGAAAGGACAGTGACTGCTAATGGGTAAGAGATTTCTTTTTTTGATAATGAAAACTCTATGGAAGTAGTAATGATGGTTGCACAGTCTGGAATAGACTAAAAACTACTGCACTGAATACTTCAGAAGAATGATTTTTATAGTATGAATTATATCTCAATTTTAAAACCAGATAGAAACTCCACACAAGGCAATTTTGCTCTATTTCTCAAAATAAAAATGCATATACTTAACTCAGCAATTGTATTCCTATGACTTTAGTCTCGAAATATAAATGTGAAAAATACGCATTATATGTAAATCTAAAAAATCAGAAACAACCCTACATGTCCATAAACAAGTGAAGTGAAAGTGAAAGTGAAGTCGCTCAGCTGTGTCCTACTCTGTGCGACCCCATAGACTGTAGCCTAACAGGCTCCTCCATCCATGGGATTCTCCAGGCAAGAATACTGGAGTGGGCTGCCATTTCCTTCTCCAGGGGATCTTCCCAACCCAGGGATTGAAGCCGGGTCTCCCGAATTACAGGCAGACGCTTTAACCTCTGAGCCACCAGGGAAGCCCCCATAAACAAGAGACTACTTAAATAAATGATACATCCATATAATGAAATAAACATGTAGTGGAAAAAAATGAGTAGACAGTCTTTAACTATACTTGTATTTTAGAAAAGAATACATGTATCCTTGTATATGTATAAAATACCTCTGCATTGGTAACCCTGGCTACATTAATGGAGGAAAATGGAGTGGCTAAGAGATAAAGGGGTAAGAAACTTTTCACTATACAACTGATCTTTGAACAATGGCAGGGGTTAGGGGTGCTGAAATCTGTGAATATACACAGATTATAGTTGGTCTCCCATATTTGTGATTCAGCATCTGAGAATTCAACCAATTGTAGACCATGTAGTGCAGTATAATATTAAGAAAAAAAAAATTCAAGTGTAAATGGTCCTGCAGTTAAAATCCATGTTTTTCAAGGGTCAACTGTATGTGTGTATATATATATACATATTTTTTTCTCTTTTACCTTTTGAGTTTTGTACCATGTGGTTGTATTTCCTATGCCAAAGTTAATAAAATTCAAAAACTTTTCCCTGAATGTTTGGATAGAGTATGAGGGATAGAAATTCTAAGAGAGGATACAGAAGAGGTAATCAGAAGCCAGGCTGTGATAAATGGTTTGGACTTAAACCTGTATATAATCGGAAGCTACTGAAGTATATAAGATAGAAGAATCATGGCATGAGACTTCCATTTAGAAAATAAATATGCAGACACAGACTAAATGATAGACTAGAAGGGGCTGACGTGGGAAAACAGATTGGCAGCTAATTTAGTAATACAGATGAGAAAAGATGCTGATCTAAGGTAATGGCAGGTAGGGTAAAAGGAACTCTCCATTTCTCTGAGCCTCAGTTTTTTCATATGCAAAATGGGGATAATATTGTCACCGGACCAAGAAAAAAAACAAAATGAGATTATGGGTGTGAACATACCTCTTAACATTAAAGCATTATACAAAAATAACTGACTTTTCTATTTGCAAAAATAATTTGCTTGCTGACGACTAATTATAATACTGAAATAGGATCATGTGAACAATATACATTTCAATACAAAGTGCAATCTAAGCAGGCATTTCTGAAGGGCAGTATTGTTTCGTACTTGCTCTTGTCTCAATTCTGCGTATGGCAGCTGATTCTGGCAACCAAGATGGCAAGCATATTGCTCATCAGATTGGGAATATGCTTCTGTACATGCTGGAAGAGAAAAACAGTAAATTACAAGAAAAAAAGAGAAGGAGAGAAAGAAAAGGGATAGAACAGAAAGTAAGGAATTTGGCATTTTATAAAGCAATTTATTATACTTAAAAAGTATTTCATTAATATGAATTTTCACATTTGGCAATAACAGCAAATGTTTTATTTTACTAAAATCCCATATCTTCTGCCTCCCACAAGTCAAATGTTTCAGGAATAGATCTATTAATTACACACTCAGGCTCTGGCTATATGATGACGTTCACATGAGGTGAACCTCATAGCTAAGGTTTGCAGAAAAGGAAAAACACTGAATTGGCAACCTGAAATTCTGGCTCCATCCATCTGTTGGCTGTGTATGTGACCTAGGTAGAGCTATTTAACCTCTCTGACTATTGATTTTTATTATGTCTAAAACAGAATTAATACCACCTACTTTATGGGGTTGAACAAAATGATATACTTTAGTAATTTATACAAATATATGATATTACTGTTAAGAACTGGATCACTGAGTTCAGCAGCAAGGGTATTCACAAGGCAAAGAAAAATAAAACAGTCAGTCTAACATCCTAAATTCTGAGAAAACTGAACTTTGAAAATGTTCTGCAGCAGGATTCCAAACTTGGAATTAAGTCTCTACCACATATATGCTCTTCATTTAGTTTACTAGTGCCATTTCTTTCCTGTGATATAACACTTTACACCACAATTTTATTTTTCTTTCCACCCAGTCATGCATTTGTAGTATACTTCTCGAAGGTACTAGATACTAAACTGAACAGTATTATGCACATATAAAGATGGCCAGTTAGGAGACTGAGCCATAAAAAAAGAGGTTATGATATCACACAGGGTAGATGGAAATAGTGGCATAGTGATAGGGAGAAAGCTACCTCACTGCACTGAATAAACAGTGTAAGGTAATGAATGAAGAAAATTCCATTATAGTTTTTAAAAAGCCAAATATCAATTTTGTCCTGATTACAGGTTTCTTTTATTAAACACACTGCTTTGGGCAAAAGGTAAGAATAGTGGCTTAAGAGATGACAAAGACTCTGGTTACTTCTTTTATTGGCATGACTCACAAAGAATACACTATTAAATACTGAGTCAAAGGCCTGATTCAGTAAAAAACAAACAAACTTGGGAGCTAAGTCAACTAGCCTATGATTGAAAGGCTTAGGAAAATTATACTATCCACTGAAAGGATAGTGATGAATTATGAGAAGGGTAATCACTATTACATTTGTCTAAACCAAATACTTGGTTAAACAAAGGTGTTCCTATCTATAGTACAAAATAAATACTGTCTCAACAAATAGATGAAATTTAAAGCCCATGAAATTTCTAGCAGCAGCTCCTAGAAGTTCAACTTTATAATAATTAAAATATGATTGATGATTAGTTTAAATAGTATGCTTGTCATTTTCCAAGGAAAATACATAAAAAGCATAACACAACTCAAAGAAAACACCAATGTTATATACTGCTGATGTCATTAGCATAGCATCTTACCAGATTCACATTCCAATTTGGTCCGATTTAAATCAGTTCCATCATCCACAAACTGACAAATTGAAAACAGCCTGCAACCTCTCTGACATGCGTACAACTCCTCTTCCTAGGGAGGTCAAGAACAGGAAGGATTAACAAAAAAAATAGTATTTTTCCCTTATGGGGGAAAAAAGTCAAAAAGAAAGCAAAGTTAGTAGGGTTTATTATAAATTGTCCAATAAAAGTTTTATAACTGAAAGAAAAATGATAGAAGTCAGGTAATACGTAAGGGTATATAGTCTGCCGCATAAAGAAGTTTTAATTTCTTACTTTAACAGTGATATCCAAAACAAATAATAAGTGATATCAAGAAATCGAGTGCATAAAAACATCACCCTTTTCCTACAGTCCATGGTCATATTTTGGGGGGAAAAGTTGAAAATAAAAATAACAGTGACATAATCAGAACTTTAATAGAGGCAAAAATGAGAAAACAAGTATTTTAGGACCAATGGTGTACTTCTGCCACATAAATATTTATACAAATCATCAGGCCTATCAGGAAAAATATCATGACTAGTTTTACATAGCATAAAGGCCCCCACAAAGTGAGGTACACATTTAGAAAAATGCTTAAATGAAAGGATTTTTTTTTTTTTTTTTTAATGAAAGGATTTTTTAAAACTCAGTTTACCTGAACTGAAAACAGAAACAAAGGCAACATGTGACATATGGAAAAGGCCACTGGAATCAGCCAGGCTTAGATTAAAACCTTTCAGGTCAGCATGAACATTACTTTACCTATCTACTGATAAACGTCAAAAAGGAAATAAAAGCTATAAATTACTTCTAAACCTCTCAACAATGCTGGAAGACAGCTATTCCTAGTGCAGTGCCCGGAACATTGAAGGTGCTCAATAAATGGTAGTAGTGTTAATCATAATAATACATTTTAAAAACAGAAAACAACAGCTGTAGGCATCATAGTATTTGTGTGAGAGCTCAAGAGAAGATTCTTCGTTGCTGGAAAATGTGAACAGCTCAGTAAGACTAATGATAATGTCTTCAACAGGCTTTCCTTTGGTGAAATGTATAGTATTTGAAACAAACCAGTATATGTGGGGAAGCCCCCTCAACTTACTGTGTGATCCACTGTGTACAAACTGGCAGGCACCTAATAAGGAAGGAAACAGCATGTGCATATACCAGTTAGCAACCAATGGAATACAAAGTTATGCATTTCTTTCCAGCAGGATTAGTAAAATCTGTGCAGCAGCAACAATCTGTTAAGAGGAGATGGCTGCAGTCTAGTATTTATTGTTGTTCAGTCACCAAGTCATGTCAGACTCTTCACGACCCCCTGGACTATAGCACACCAGGCTTCCCTGTCCCTCACCATCTCCTGGAGTTTGCCCAAGTTCATGTCTGTTGAATCAGTGATGCCATGCAACCATTTCATCCTAACTGTCTAATATTAAACAATCTTTATTATACAACTTTGAAGGTAGTGCATTTCTGGATGTCAGTTCTAGCTGCATTTATTGTTCCAGTGAAATTGAAGGAGTTTTAACCCTTAAAGTAAATTTTATACCTGAGTAGCTTTTATAAGACAGTAGAATTCTCTCATGTCTTTGGAGCACCACATACTTCCAACTATGGCATGGAGAAGTATGAGCTCATTAGTATGAGCTATACTGCAAGCCATTTTACTTTCAGATATGTTTTCTTTTATTAAACCAATCCAATAAGCCCTCCAGTACGATTTTCAGAAGAGAGTGTAGCATGGTAAAAGAGTCTAGGTTCAGGAATTAGCCCTGGTTAGTCACTCAGCCTCATCATTTATTCTGCACAACCTTAGGCAAGGGCCTTAATCTCTTTCAGCCTCAATTGCCTTAGTTGTAGAACACTGACAATACTTACATGTCAATCCTGAAATATGATGAGGATTTTGTATTTTATTTACATATTATTTTATATCCATAGCATCATTAATATTATGCTATACGATCTAATAAACAGATATGACATTAATAATATATTTTGTGAGTACCCACAATGTACCAGGTACGGTGTTAACACTTAATATATCATAGGACACCTGGCACAGAGCAGGCACTCAACTGGTAGCAATTAAGTCATACCCTTGTTCTAAATAAGTGTTTCATGTTTCATACAATGTTTCATGCCCTATGCTCCAAAATTACTGGCAAGCTTATATAAAATATACCTTCTCTAATTTAGACCAAATCCTCCTTAAAGGAACCCTACTATCTATAGATTTTACACGCATTTTCTTATCCTGAGCTAAGTCAAGCTAACTATTCTTTTATTCAGCACTAATATACTGCACATACCAAACTGGCCTTATGACAGCTGACAAAGGAAAAAACTATCTGTTACCATGTGTTAGGTACTGTGCTAAGAGCACCATGTATATTATCTTTAATCCTCACACTTACTCCGCAAGGTGTAAGGATTTTTTTTTTTACAGTTGACAAAATGAAGTCTGAGAAGTGATTATCAAGGACACACAGATATGTAACTGTAAAGCTGGGAATGAAACCAGGTTTGTAAGGTTCCAGAGCCCACACTCTTAAAAATGACGAGGCTGACTCTAATTACCTTTATTATTAACAAGACTTATGCCTCCTGTATTTGGACCCAGACAAGTTACACAATTCTACCTCTGAGGAAAGTGAAAGGGTGAAATATGATAATTTTTAAGTACCTACTACAAACAAGTAAAGTACCAAGCTTTCTTGCAACAAATAATTTTGAAAAAGAGTCATTAAAATGAGATTTCTATTTGCCAGTCACAAATACCAGACCAAGAGAGGCTTTAGGAGCTTGTAAACTTAAATAATATAACACCCACTGCTTTTTTCCAAACCATAAAGCACAATAATTTGACAGAGGACCAAAGGACATCAGTGAAATAATTAAATATCTTTAATCTACAACTTTATTAATAGAAAGCAGTACAGTGTAGCCAGTTTTAGGATTGAATTCCTGCTACTCCACTACTTCTTGGTTATGTGACCTAGGTCAAGCCACTGAACATTTCTGAGCCTTGACTTCCTCAGCTGAAAAGCCCAACTTGGCAGGGTGAGAATTAGGGATAATGGAGGTAGATCTCCCATCATACTGGCTAATAAGACAGCAGGCAGTTTATAAACTTTAAGTCCAGGACAGGAAACCAGGTGATTTAGAGTTCCTGAGAATAGTTTTACTGAAAAAGTAAGAAAGATTTATAGATATCACATCAATTGTTAGAAAGTAGTGGATATTATAAAAGTACTCAGAGGTTCCAGAAATGTCTAACCTTTTAAATTGCTTATTCTACAGCATATGTACTCAAGTGACTACAAATATGCTAGGAAAATCTCAAAAAAAGGGCGGGGGTGGGGGGTGGGAGGTGTGTGGGAGGGAAGGCCAGTACATCCAAACACTATAAAGATACAAAATAAATCACTGCCCAATTCCAGGCCAAATCATTATTAATTTCCTCATACAATCCTCTTACTTATGAGCGATTTTATAAAAAGAGAAGAAAATAATGTATTCAGGAGCAGTACACATTGATTTAAAAGTCTAGAAGCCAGAATTCCTCATTTTTCTCTCTCTTGATTGCTAACGATATATTTGTCTCTGATAATTTGATAATACCCTCTCCCACACTTTTTCTTGAAGACTGATAATCCTCAAGCAGTGTAAAACCCAGCAGTAAACAGATATATGGGCAGAAACAGCATTTAGAACTTTTCATTTCAAAAGCCTGAAAGCACTTGCCAATAAGGAACATCCTAAACTTTTTCTCCTAGTCACTTGGTAGTTTGAGACAGCAAAGAGGCCTAGCCACATGGTTAAGCACATAGCATAGCGAAGACAAAGCACAAACAAGGGCAGAAAGACCAGCGCAAGCTGTTATAAAGTCAGTGGTGGGGGGGGCGGGGCTTACACCCAAATCACATATTTGGAAGGGTGGGGGACAAACCACGCAATTTAGGATGCTCAGTCAACAGTTCTTAAGCTGCAAAAATAACTTGAGAAGTGGAATGGAATTAAAGGAAAGGCTGCACCCAGGGGCGGACAAGGAGGGGAGGAAAGGTCACTCTCTTCGTAATATGTGATCCGCTGCGAGGGCCAGTCTCATATCTTTCCCACTCTCCACCGAAAGGTAAGTTCTCTGAATGTAGAAACCTAACTGCTTTTTCTCTAAGCCGTCCCAGTCCCAGTGTCAGCACCTAGCACAGTTACTTAACACAGGCGGAGAGCCCTTGCTGAGTGTCTCCCCACTCCTTAATACATTTCATACTATGGTGGAATTATCTACTTGTCTGACTCCAGGTACAGACTGCAGGCTTCCAGCCCAGAGAGGCGCTAAGGGAAGAGGGGGTTAGGAACTAACCTTTTAGTGGACTGGCGTATCTGCAACTTCCCCCCCTCCGCCCCGCCATCCCTGTAAAGTGAGGACCCTGCATTAATCATCTGGATCCTCCTTCCCCTCCGAGCGTTCTTCTTCCCCGCCTTCCCCGTAAAACCCCAGAAAAAAAGGGGTCGTGTCTTGCTTATTTTTCTTTCCCCGGCTTATTACAGGATAGGTGCGGCACAAACTTCCGGTAATTACAGCAGGAGCGGGATGCGGGTAGGATTAGGGAAGAAAACAGGAGCCACATAGATGGGAGACAAAGGTTGAAGGGTGGATTCAACATCAGGCTCCCAGAAATGACAGAGGTGCGGGAGAGCGGAAAGATGGGCGGCCAGGGAAGGGCTGTAGCCCGGTTCGGACGGGCCCTACCTTGGGGTAGGTGTGCAAGGGATACGTCAACTGACAGGCCCGGTGACAAGACGCCGTATCACCCAAGACCGAGTCAAACGCTTCAGCCGAAGCGGTTCCCGAGCCTCCGGCCAGAGCCATGGCCAGCAGCAGCAGCGGCGAGATCCCCAGTTGGGCCCTGAGCCATAGTCTCCCCTTCGGCACCGCCATTTTGTTTGCCTCTGTCACAGCAGCACAGCTTGTTGCTGTTTTCTTTTCAAGGTTCCTCCTCCTTCCGGGACCAGCCCCTTCCCCGCCCCGCGGGCCGCTGCTTCCGCCTCTGTAGTCTTCACAGCTCCGCCCTGACCCGTCCGAAACTGCCGCCTCCCGCCCCACCTCTAAGAACTCCGAGGTTGGCGAGAGGAAGTGGATCCAAACATCGCGAGTACTAGAGCGAAACGACTCCTCCCTCTGCGAGGCATGCTGGGGCATGTAGTTCTCTTCTAGCGGGAGGCGCCCGGTGGTTGGGGAACTTGGTCTCGGGGAACTACCAGCTGCCCTAGGCGCTCCCGAGCCTGCCCATTCGCGGTGTATTCTGGGGAATGTGGTTTGGCTCACCCCGCCCCCCCCTCTCCCCCCAACCACCGTTGGCTGGCCTCGTACTTCAGCTGGCTGGCGGAGCTTTTGCCGAGAAAGTGCCAACCCTGAAAGGTGTTCAGACCCCCTAAGGCCCAGGCTTTGGCCCTCAGAGGGTGCGTGCTGGAGAGGCCCAGCTGTTTGGCAGGGCTGCTTTTCCTGGTGGGTCTCACGTGCCATCGTTAGCCTTCCCCTTCCTGGGCTCCTGAGTGCTGAAGGCAGAGGAAGGTGGTGTTTCCCGTTGCTATGGGATTAGAGCAGGACAGTCTTTAGGGTCCTTTGACCGTGGAGCATTTCCTGGAGATGAGGACCCTGCTGAGATCTGGAGGAGGTTGTTGGATATTGGTTACAACGGGAACCCTTGGGGTTGTGGCTATGGTACGGTAGTTGTTAAGAGAGCTTCACTGAACCTGGGGGAAAGCTGACCCAACCACAACACAACCTAAGATGGAAGAGGCTTTAGAAGTCATCAGGTTCAACGCTTGGCCCTCTCCTGGTAGCCTCTTTACAGGTGCACTTGGGAAAGCTAGTCACCTCTTAATTCAGGAAGTAGACCGATCATTGTATACAATTTTCAGTTTTTAGGAAAATGTTTCTTTTTTAAGAGGAAACCTTCTTTTAAATTCCACCCAAGGGTTCTAATAATTCAAGAATGCTTCCAGAGTGTGTAGAACCCAATTATGTCACTTTAGGGAGCACACATCACTGAAGTTTTGATGACATTTTAGAACCTGCCCTCTTTGTTGAGCAGAACACGGTACAAGCACGTGAAGGTAGTTGGAGTCCCCTAGGAATGGATAAATTCGTCATTCGAACACCCAGAATCCAGAATAGTCCTCAGAAGAAAGATCCTGGAGGAAAGATTTACAAGCAGGCCACCATTGAATCTCTGAAGGTGAGAGGGGATCCGGGAGTGGAGAAAATGTGCAAAGGACTGGGATGGCAAGGAGGTCTGGAGTTCTACTATGGAAGACCTTTGATTTCCTTATTTCTGTGCTTTTTCCCCACTGTGTTCCTGACCACTCCAAATTTGTTTCCCCCATACTCTACCAATTTCTGGACCTTTGTTACACCCTTCTAATTACTTTAGCTTTGTGGTATGTTTCACTAACTGGTAGGATACATCCTCTTAAATTATTCTTCTTTTGCAAGATGTTCTTGTCTATTAAATGGAATGTTCACGTACCAAATATGATTCGTGTACCCTGTACAAACTCAGTAAGACTGGGTGATGATACCACCCCTCATCATATTGACCGGAACTGTATCACGTGGCCTTCACAGCCACAGCTGAGACTGAAAAAGAGACTGTTAAACTGGACTCTTTGCAACCTCAAACTGTCTGACTTATGTTGACAAGGAAGAGGCAAGGCATCATGAATACAGTATAGACAACCAACAGTGAATCAATGAATGTAAGAACCCAATTAATGGTAGTTACTGCTTCACTTAATAGTGAAGGATAGGGGAGTCTGGCGTGCTGCAGTTCATGGGATTGCAAGGAATTGGCCACGGGTTAGCGACTGAACAGCAAGAAGTTTCTTCACTAAAAACAAGCAGAAAACTGCTTGCAATTACTTCTCTTTGTCTTCTTGAGCCTCTCCTAATTTATGCACTTCTTCTTTCTGATTTCCTATATTGCTTCCTCTTTTCTCCATTAGACTACTAATGTTTGTGCTTTGCAGAGCTTTGTCACATTTTATGTATTTGGCCAGGGTAATCTTACTCATCTTGAGGCTTGCCGTGCTGATGACTGCCAAACTTGCACCTCTGGCCTAGGTCTCTGAAGAGAATGGGATCAGGGGCTAGAGAAAAATTTACAAAGACTGTGATAATGTGGGGGGGGCCTTCTGAGTACTTGACTTAAGTATTCCGTTGGACTTTTAGATATACCACACGTTTACCAGACCCAGATTAGGAAGTGGTATAGGGAAGTGTAAACAAAAACCCTGGGTTCTCGGCCTCCTGTGCAGTTGGGGGATCTTTAGCAAGTCAGTTTCTAAACTGGGATCTCATTTTGTCCTTATCTAGGAAATGTGGTGGTTGACCTATGTCATTATGTCAGAGTTTCTTCAAACAAACACTGTTGTCCTTTCGGGCAAGATGATTCTTCCTCATTTGACACTGTCCTGTGAATTTTACAAAGTTGAGTATCTCTGGCCCTCGGACACTAAATGCCTGTAACACCTCCCATTGTGATGACCAAAAATGCCCTCACGTGTTTACAAGTAGGCCGTAGTTAAGACCTACTAAGCTCAAGATGATCTTAAAATCTCCCCTAGTTTTGCAGTTTTGTGAATTCCTAGAACACATTCAAGTGTTTCAACTGTTTGCTCAGAGTATCCACGAATAATTGTAGACTGTATATTGTATACAGTCACTACTGTATATAATTCTCAGAGACAGTGGTGGACAGGACTGTGGTATCAGACTGTCTGGAAGAAAAAAAGGGATAGTAGTAATTGACCTACATGTACACTCAACATACAAACACCCAGATTCTAATACGCCTTCACTTGTCCCTTCTGCCCTTGGTGTCCCCCTGTGGGCCCCAGTTGAGAATCACTGTGTGTGATGATGAGAATAAGTCATGTGAAGATTGTGGAGTCAGAATAAACAACAGGCATATGAAGTAACATTCTCCTTCGGTGCGATGGCTTTTCTTCCAAAACTTCTCCCATATTTATTTTATCCATATACCAAGTAACTGGGACTAGAAATTTAGAAAACACCCTTAATTCTTCCTTATATCCAATTTTCAATTTTGTCTGCTAAAAATCCTTTCTGCCCTTACATCTTTCTCTTTATATTTCAAAATCTTTTTGAATTTAGAGCAGTTCTGTAGTCTGTTAACTTTCTCTCCCTGACTTTGGCATCCCCTATCATTCCAACCTCCACACTTAAGTCAGAGAAATAAGGCTTACAAAAAAAAAAAAAAAACTACTCAGGTCACCTCCTTACCAAAGGAAACCCTTCCCTCAGTGGTTTCAAATTACCTTTCGATAAAGACATTTATTTACATGACACCAAAGGCCCTCTGTGACCTGGTACCTGCCTGCCCTGCTGCTCTTCTTATTTACCTTCCGTCCAGTGTCAGCTATTCACAATTTCTCAAAGATGTGTTCTTTCATACCTCTGTATCTTTGCATTTGCTGTTCTGTTTTCCTTGAATGGCTTTTTTCTCTTGTCTTAGAGGCAGTATGGTGTGGTAATTAACACAGACTCTGGAGCCAAACTGCCCATGTTAAAATTCCAACTCTGCCACTTAAACTACCTGTGTGACCTTGGGCAAGTTATCCTCTCTGTGTCTTTCCTTATCTGTAAAATGGGATTAATAATAATATCTATTTAATTAATGAAGTGTGAAGTGAAAGTCATTATTTTATTATATAATAACCTACATGGAATTCTTCAGGCCAGAATACTGGAGTGGGTACCCATTCCCTTCTCCAGGGGATCTTCCCAACCCAGGGATCAAACCCAGGTCTCCCGCATTTCAGGTGGATTCTTTACCAGCTAAGCCACCAGGGAAGCCCAAATAAATAGATAAGCAACTAGGATATACTGTATAGCACAGGGAATTCTAGCCATTATTTTATAATAACCTAAAATAAGCCTCTTATCCTTCTCTATCAAAGGGCAGACAGAATGAAAATCAATTCCACAGAAAACTAACCAATCTGATCACAAGGACCACAGCCTTGTCTAACTCAATGAAGCTATGAGTCATGCCGTGTAGGGCCACCCAGGATGGGCGGGTCATGGTGGAGAGTTCTGACAAAATGTGGTCCACTGGAGAAGGGAATGGCCAACCACTTCAGAATTCTTGCCTTGAGAACCCCATGAACAGTATGAAAAGGCAAAAAGATAGGACTTTGAGAGATGAACTCTCCAGGACTGTAGGTGCCCAATATGCTACTGGAGATCAGTAGAGAAATAACTCCAGAAAGAATGGAGAGATGGAGCCAAAGTAAAAACAACACCCAGTTGTGTATGTGACTGGTGATGGAAGTAAAGTCCAATGCTGTAAAGAGCAATATTGCATAGGAACCTGGAATGTTAGGTCCATGGATCAAGGCAAATTGGAAGTGGGTCAAACAGGAGATGGCAAGAGTGAACATAAACATTTTAGGAATCAGCAAACTAAAATGGACTGGGATGGGTGAATTTAACTCAGATGACCATTATGTCTACTACTGTGGGCAAGAATCCCTTAGAAGAAGTGAAGTAGCCATAATAGTCAACGAAAGAGTCTGAAATATTTCAGTACTCAGATGCAGTCTCAAAAATGACAGACTGATCGCTTTCTGTTTCCAAGGCAAACCATTCAGTGTCACAGTAATCCAAGTCTATGCCCCGACCAGTAATGCTGAAGAAGCTGAAGTTGAATGGTTCTATGAAGACCTACAAGACCTTCTAGAATTAACACCCAAAAAAGATGTCTTTTCATCATAGGGGACTGGAATGCACAAATAGGAAGTCAGGAGATACCTGGAGTAACAGGCAAATTTGGCCTTGGAGTACAAAGGGAAGCAGGGCAAAGGCTAACAGAGTTTTGCTGAGAGAATGCACTGGTCATAGCAAACACTCTCTTTCAACAACACAAGAGAAGACTCTACACATGGACATCACCAGATGGTCAATACCGAAATCAGATTGATTATATTCTTTGCCCCCAAAGTTGGAGAAGCTCTCTACAGTCAGCAAAAACAAGACCAGGAGCCGACTGTGGCTCAGATCATGAACTTATTGCCAAATTCAAACTTAAATGGAAGAAAATAGGAAAAACCACTAGATCATTTGGGTATGACCTAAATCAAATCCCTTAGGATTATACAGTGGAAGTGACAAATAGATTCAAGGGATTAGATTTTGATAGAGTGCCTGAAGAACAATGGATGGAGGTTCGTGACATTGTACAGGAGGCAGGGATCAAGACCATCCCCAAGAAAAAGAAATGCAAAAAGGCAAAATGGTTGTCTGGAGAGGCCTTACAAATAGCTGAGGAAAGAAGAGAAGCAAAAGGCAAAGGAGAAAAGGAAAGACATACCCATTTGAATGCAGAGTTCCAAAGAATAGCAAGGGGAGAATAAGAAAGACTTCCTCAGTGATCAGTGCAAAGAAATGAGAAAAACAATAGAATGGGAAAGACTAGAGATCTCCTCAGGAAAATTAGAGATGCCAAGGGAACATTTCATACAAAGATGGGCACAATAAAGGACAGAAATGGAATGGACCTAACAGAAGCAGAAGGTATTAAGAAGAGGTGGCAAGAATACATAGAAGAACTATACAAAAAAGATCTTCATGACCCAGATAACCCCAATGATGTGATCACTCACCTAGAGCCAGACATCCTGGAATGTGAAGTCAAGTGGGCCTTAGGAAGCATCACTATGAACAAAACTAGTGGAGGTGATGGAATTCCAATTGAGCTATTTCAAATCCTCAGAGATGATGCTGTGAAAATGCTGCACTCAATATGCCAGCAAATCTGGAAAACTCAGCAGTGGCACAGGACTGGAAAAGGTCAGTATTCATTCCAATCCCAGAGAAAGGCAATGTCAAAGAATGCTCAAACTACTGCACATTTGCACTCATCTCACATGCTAGCACAGTAATGCTGAAAATTCTCCAAGCCAGGCTTCAACAATACGTGAACGGTGAACTTCCAGATGTTCAAGCAGGATTTGGAAAAGGCAGAGGAACCAGAGTTCAAATTGCCAACATCTGTTGGATCATCGAAAAAGCAAGAGAGTTCCAGAAAAACATCTGCTTTATTGATTACACCAAAGCCTTTGACTGTGTGGATCACAGCAAACTGTGGAAAATTCTTCGAGAAATGGGAATACCAGATCACCTGACCTGCCTCCTGAGAAGTCTGTATGCAGGTCA